ACTTATTTAAAGCTAAATCCTAATAACAATGAATGTTAACTGACTTAATGCAATGTGAAATTGCTGCTTCAACATTCATACAAGTGATAATTTGGTCTAAGTGTCTCTGTGTTCTGTTATATAGGCATTACTTTGCAATTTGCAGGGTAATTGCATACAGAACTACTAAACAAATTTGTTTTCTTTTGCATCAAAAGTGCTTTGCACAATATATGGAGAATATTTTTAAATGCATGGTTTTTGGTGGGATTATATAGGCAGCTGTTCTCTTGTTGGATATTTAATAACAGTGAGTCTCAGATCATCTTATCAATGTCTTACTCCTTTTGCTTGTGTGGTATAATTGCATGAAGTTTAAGAAAAATCCCAATAGATACCTAGATCTATTCTTACAGTGTAGCCATTACCTTCCTTTACTGACTTACATAACCACAAAGTAAAAGTACCCATCTGTTCAGAATTACTTTGTTTGGCAAAATTTACTTTCTAAAATATTTCAATAGGAATAATGTTTATTAACTAGTACTTTTCTGATGCTTTATATCTTTTAAAACAAAATTAGTCTTTTAGACATAATTAGAAAAGGCTTTGGCTTTATTTTTCAATTTATTCACATGCATGGTTCTTCAATAGAATAGCAACTTTGCTGCAAAATGTTGATTTTACTTCCTCCCCTACTCTCTTTGATTTTACTGTTCTCAATCCTCTGTTCAGTTCAGTTGCAGGAAGAATGATTTTGAATAATACGGTCATGATGTCAAAACAGTGCAAATTATATGCTGCTGCCATCTGGAATAGTGAAAATAAAAGCTTTATTTACACTGCTCTTTGAAATAATAAACTTTATTGTGGCAGTTTATCTTCAGTATCTATAGTATATTCTGGGAATACTCCATGTGTGCCTTTTTATTCTGTGAGCTACAAAATGATTAAAATTTGCCTGTGGCAAAGCTATCAGTGAATCTTGGAATAGTTTTGGTTTTTTTTAGTTCCTGAATAGAATGGAGAAAACCACCTCCCATTTCCACAGTGAGAATAATTGGTTCACATAGGACAATATTTTTAAGAGCCATAGTGAAACACTTTGAATACATATTTCAGTTAGGCAGATTACAGTGATTTAACTACAGGTTAACATGGTTATTCTGGAACATAGAAGTTTCAATGGTGCAAATAGAGTTAATGTGGAAGGAGATCCTTAACAGAAATACTGAAGATCACTGGGTTTTTTATCTGTTTAGCTGTGTTGTACAGCTGAGTAGGTTTATCATGAAAAGTCAGATCTATTGTACTGGATTTGTCTGAAATCCTGTTCCTTCTTTGGATCCAGCTTTTGTATATGCACAGGCTTGACAGTATACCTTCAGATGTAGCTTGGAAAGTTTATGAAATCTTGTGAAAGAATCACGCACTTTTTTCATTTGAGGTAACAGAAAACAGTTAAAGGAAGAGCAAAAAGGTTTAGGATGCATACTTGTGGCACAGCTTTTTTCTTTGTAGGTATTCTTGATGGTAAGTATGGTTTCTTTTGAGTAAAGGATAATTTAACTGGTTGCTGTTTCCAGATTACCACTCTATCAGAATGACTGTTTACATATAAAAGCTGTGCTGTGTGAGCACAGGCTTACCTGTCAGACGTGTGAAAAGTATGTGTGGGATAATGTGTAGATATATTGAAATCTGAATGTAGAGGGTTTTCTGCTTTTTATATAGGTGTTGCTTGGAAGAAGAGCAATTACCAGTTTGACAAAACTGGAAGCAGAAATAGGAATCTCATAGAATCAGAGAATAGTTAGGGTTGGAAAGGACCTCAAGATCATCTAGTTCCAACCCCCCTGCCATGGGCAGGGACACCTCACACTAAACCATGCCACCCAAGGCTCTGTCCAGCCTGGCCTTAAACACCTCCAGGGATGGAGCATTCACAACTTCCCTGGGCAACCCATTCCAGTGCCTCACCACCCTCAAGGACATTGTTTACATATAAGCAATGTCAAACAGATTGAATACACAGAAAGACAGTTTAGAAATCCTAAGAACAACAGTGATGGGAAACAAGGCAAAGCCATTTCATAACATTCTTTCTTAAGTTCATGTGGTAACCAGTCTTTGTTAGTTGCCCCACCATTGTTCAGATTATACATTTGGCGAAAAATAACTTTTGTAGAGCTCTTCCAGCAACTGGAAATGATACTAGCACAGTACTAAAAGCATTCTCTTAATGCCAGTAACAGAATGCAGTGCTGTTAAGACACTTAACAAACTCGAATAATGTGCTCTGTTTCTAAATCTCTTGTATCTGTCATCCTAAACAAAATACGTATTACATGTATGATTCCCCAAGCACAAGGACAGAGAAATCTGCCCTTTAATAGCCTCTCAAAATGACAGTACCAAATGGCTTTGAGAAGGTCAAGTCTGATTTAAATTGTTGATGAATTAGAAAGTAATTCACTAGAACTGAATATTAATAGGGAACACTGATATATACTATAGTTTAGAACCTATTGAGAATATAAATGTGCAGTGAAAAGTATCTTTTTCCATCCTATGCAAAATTGTAGAGTTACCAATATATCAAAATTTTTGAATATTTACTTTGTTGTTCACTGATTTGTACAGTTGTTCACTGATTTGTACAGTTGTTCACTGATTTGATGCTCAGCTGTCTTGCAGTGTGTTTGATTATCTGTCAAACTTGGTATCATCAAAGTATAAAGACAGTTTTATATAAATCACTAATAAACTTACAGAGAAAAAAATAAAACGATCAACATTGTAAAAACTAAATCCACTGTGGTAAGCACTCCGATGAGGAATTTCATTATTTCCCTTGTCCATTTGATGTCAAATATTGGGGTTTATTGCCAAATACCTGAAAGCCAGACTGGAAACAAGCCACAACTGTCAAAAATGTAACAGTTCTGGCTACTTGAATCTGTTACATTGTGATGTTTCTCATGAAAATTTCATGAACAGCATTCTTTCAAAGAGATTCTATGCATAAGGAGGATGAATGGAATTTAATTGCCCTTATTAAAAATAAGAAAGGAAAGCTCTTACTACTCCATCCTATTAGTATTCAAGATAGATTCGCTTTGTTGTACACTTATGTATTTACAAAAGGGACTCCAGGGTTTTCTGTATGAGCCAAGTAGGAAAGGAAGGGTCAGGTCATAAAAATCCTGTTCTGTGTCACAAGACAAATCTTGTCAGTTACTCTCAAAGTAAAAAAAAAAAGAAACCCAGACATGAAACATACCTTTCTCTGGGACGAGCCTATAGCTAGTGAAGAAATCGATACTTAACCACTCGTTGGTAGAAATACTAGTTTATAAGTGTTTTGCAAACTTGTTTAGAGAATTTTGTTTACCTAGTATATATGTGTGTTTGTATTGCAAATGATTAACAAGTTTATGGGAAGTAGCAGACCTCAGGAACTGCGAAATGTATAGAATGTGCTTTCTTGCTATACATTTTTCTGAAAATTCTGAAGACTTCCTTATTTGAAAAAATGACATATTTTTTCATGAAAGCTTGTTGATACTGGACAATTTCTTCTAAGTTATTTTTATCCCTTGATCAATTGCATGTCAATTACCACCAATCAAGACATTTAATAGGATATGTGTTTCACAGTTAGTATTGATCCTTTGATTTTTTTCTTTTTTGCTTGTCCTTTTTGAACAGAAAGAGTAACAACTATCTAGCAACAATTTATTTTAGTTTCAATGGAAATGAAGAGCAAGATGGTGTAATTCAAATAGATTATTTGATTTGCTAATTTGATCTATGAGAAATTGTTTGATCTCACTGTGCTTCCAGCGTTACTTGCTAGCGTGTATCATCTTGAGAAGGTGAACTGCTCTTTTTTGTCAGCATTTCTTAGTATTTTGCTATTGACTGCGCTAGAGTGAGTGAGGACTTTTGACCATGTCTGAGTGTTTTAGTTGACGCGGCTGTACCCATTCTTACCACTTTAGCTTTCGTATTTGCATAGCTCTACTGTTTAGAGTTTCTCTGTGCTTTGTAATCTTATGATGGATTCATCCTCATAGCACTTCTCTGTAGCAGTAAAGGACTATCATACCCATCTTACAGATGGGCAACTGAAGCACAGGGATGTTAAATGTGAAGAAAAACAGCACATAGGTAGTAATGATAAAAACAAGAAATATACTTGGGTGTCCTGAGGTCCTGGCTGAATCTTATATGCTGTGGTCACACTTCCTTATGTACTTGTCTTATGTAAGGAATTTTTTTTTCTCTGTTGTTGGTAGGAATGGTGATTCAATATTTCACATAAAATAGTAAGGCCTTTTCACAAGCAAGGCAACATCACTGTTGTAAAGTACCACAGTGGGAGTCCAATGATTATGTGCTACATAGAATGATAGAACCAGCTAGGCTGGAAAAGACCTTTAAAGTCAAGTCCAATAGTTACTCGAGGACTGACAAGTCCACTACTAAACCATGTCACTAAGGGCCTCATCTACGGCTGAGGGAACTGAGATTGTTTACTCTGGAAAAGAGAAGGCTCAGGGGAGACCTTATCACTCTCTATAACAAGCTGAAAGGAGGATGGAGTGAGGAGGTGGTGTTACTTGGTCTATTCTCCCAAGTAACAAGACAAGAGGTAATGGCCTTGAGCTGCACCAGGGAAGGCTGAGACTGGATATTAGGGAAAAAGGTTTTCACCAAAAAGGTAGTAAGGCATTGGAACAGGCTTCTCAGAGAAGTAGTGGAATTGCTGTCCCTGGAAGTCACCATACATTGTCTCTGCCAATTTAATAAGTAAGTATAAAATATGAACTTTCTATTTTTTGTCAGCATTTTGATCACTGTAAGTTACAAAAATACTGCCTGTGTATCTAGTTTTGCATCAGTTCCTTGCGTACAATTAGGGTACCCTTGAACATTAATTAGAGTGGCAGTTGGGGCTTTCATGAGTTACTGTGTAACTAATGTAAAATTCTTCAAATAATCAATTTCCTTTGCAGAGGATCAAATTCCCAGAGGTTTCCCCACCATTGATATGGGCCCACAGCTAAAGGTCGTTGAACGAACTCGTACAGCTACCATGTTATGTGCAGCCAGTGGCAATCCTGATCCTGAAATAACTTGGTTCAAAGATTTCCTGCCTGTTGACACAAGTAACAACAATGGCCGTATCAAGCAGTTGCGCTCAGGTAGGGTCTTGTAACTGTTTCGACTAATGCCCAGAATTGTTCTCTCTCACCTTTTCTTTCTTTTCTTTCTCTTTTTTTTTTTTTCCTTTTCTTCTATTTTTTTTATTTATAGGTAATAATTTCTCTTCTTCCTCTCTCTTCTGTCTAACTGTGTTGTCCATGTCTGTGATGTTGTCATAGCCTTCTCTAGAGTCTGTCTCTATGTGTTTTGCAGCTTCTGTTTACTCCACATTGCTCACTGCTGTGACTGTACTTTTTGATAATTTTTTCCTTTACTGCTTTTTGCAGTACTTGATGGATCCATTTTCTCCTCTTTCTTTCTTCTTTCCTTTTTTTTTTTTAAAAAAAGATTTATTTCAACATTGGACTTCATTCAGAAATTGCAAGGAGTACCAATGGTTATATTCATCAAAACCAAAACCTGCATTAGACACTTCAATTAAAATTTAAAATGTGTTTTGTGCTGTCTTTTCCATATTTGACTCCACCAAAGATTAGACAGTTTGGACACATCTTCTTTCCTCTCACAAATACATAAAACACAATACTTTTTCCCATGCACAATTATACTTTAAAAAGAATATTAAAAAACCCCATACCAAACCAAAATTAAAAAACAACCCCAAAAACAAACAAAAAAGAAAAAAAGAAAAGCCTGAAAAGAATCCGTGAGTAATCTGTGGAATAAAGTTTTTTCACTGGCTGAGCATTTTTCCAACACATGTAGCCACAGTAGTGTGCGCCCATGCTAAAGCTTTATGAATCCTACATTTTCTGGATCTACAGAAGTCTGCTTTTGGTGTAGAATCCAGCTTTTGCTGCTCTTTCTCTCTTTGCCCCTTGCACCTCCCCAGCAGTTCTTTTACTCTCCTCCTGCCCTAGTTAATTCTTTTACCCTCTGTAGATATAAAAAACCCCAACAATTCTAAATTTATAGTTTGAAGCTTATCCCTAAATAAGATAATTGGGATATAATGAGCTTTTTTCTTTGGCAATTGAAGTAGATAACGTTGTAGAATCTAAGTTGTTTAATCACGTGTCTTCCCAGAATTCTCAGCTTTTGACCTGTCCTGTGATGTTAAATCGTCTTGTTAACTGACTTTTTGCTTGTTGTCAGAAGAATTGTGTAAATTAACCTTCTGTTAATGTAAATTAAGAATTAATTTCTCACATGTGACATAGATGATTTAGTATATAAAGCTTTAACTGAAAACTTTGTACCAAATTATAAGGAATATAATAATATTTTTGTGCTGTTTTTCTTCTCTCCGTATTTAAATCTCCAGAATCTATTGGTAAGTGCTTAGTTCTGAAGCGCACTTCACCCCCACTAATTTTCATATTCAGAATATTATGATTATTATGATTATTATTATTATACGATTACTATTATTATTCTTAAAATGCATGGCATGCATTTTACTAACAGTCAGTGTAGTCACCAGATCCTTATATTGGCGCACACACACACCTCCACAGAAATGTTGCCTTATCAGTCATAGCAACACCTAAAGGAAACAGTACACGTTATCACATAGCTGTAGAACAGTAAATGCCATAATCCAGCCTAAATACAGTGTTTGTTCTGAGATAGCCTTCCGTGTATCCTCTTTTTATATATATATAGATTTTTATATATATATATTTAAATAGAATTTCCAGTATTTTCCTAAACTATGTCATAAGTACAGCATTGTAAAGTTTTCTTTAAGTGTTTGAGGCATATTTTATATATATCTAACCCTATATAATCAAACATCTAAGAACTCAGATGCTACTCTGAGAATGGCAATGCAGCCAATTGTAACCTTTTTGCCCTATGTGGTACAATGCAACTTGCCTTTATAACCTGATAATACTATCTAATATATTCCTGTTTTAACAGTATAGTAATTCAAGTTTTTCTTAAGACCTTATTTAATTCTGTAAATCTAATTTGATTCTTCTTCCAAAGCCCTAGCCTCCTTCTTCTCGTACTAATGCTTCTTCTTTCTAATCTTATTTGCATTCATATTATCCACCCAGGTGGTACACCAATAAGAGGTAAGAGTGCTGAACTAACGTTCACAGAATGATCTTTCTCATTCTTTCTGTCCTCTCATCCCTTTCATCTTTGTTATGGGTTGTTGTTGGTTTTTTTTTTTCTTTTTTTTAAGAAAAAAGAAGACAAAAAAACACACACACACACACACAAAAAAAAAAAAAAAAACAAACCACAACCCACAGAAATGTCCATCATCTGTTTTTTTTATTTCCTTTGTCCTGTTTGGTTATGATCAGTGACTCTCATATTGTGGCCTTTCTTTCCACACGCTCCCTTTTTCTTTCCCTTTTTTGTTTGTTCATTTAAAAAAAAACAAAAACAACAACAAAAAAAAAATCACAAACAACAATAATTTGCTTTGTGATATGCTTCAAAGAAAGCATATCCAGGTCTTCTGGCCATAGCCCAGTCACAGCGTATACCATTTGTCCCTCTTTTTTCTTTTTCTTCTTCTTTTTCTTCTTTTTCTTCTACTTCTTCTTTTTTTTTTTTTTTCCTTCCTCTTTTTTTCGTCCAACTGGAGCAAAAAAAGGTCATTTTTTTTCTTCCTTAGCTGTTCTTGTCCTGGACCAAAGACAAGATGGTCTGGAGAACAGTAGCAGACATGCAGAAGACAACATGGACTATCTTCTTTTTCTTCTTTTTGTCTTATCTTTCATAAAAGGTTTTTATTTTTGTTCTTTTCCGATCCTTTTTTTTTCTTTTAACTTCATAAAGTTGAAAATTATGTCCCCCCCTCTAAAAAATTACAGCAATGTTGTGGGGTTTTTTTTTCCTTTATTGGTTTTTTGGGTTTTGTGGGTTTTTTTTTTTCGTTTTTTGTTTTTGTTTTTTTTTTTTTTGTTGTTTTCTTTCTCTTGGAATTCTGTCACGTCTGGATTTTTGGATCTTCTAATCTACAGGATATGGAAATGAAAGGTTAATGATTATTATTCTTGGTGGTATGTGGTATTGTTGTTTTTTGATACTCTGGCAAAAATGTTTCCTTCTTTTATAATTCTTGTTTTGTATTTTTCTTGGGTTTTGTGACACCACACTGCTAATCCCAATAGTGGATTTTGATGGGTGTCTTGAGGGGGGCCCTCCTCTGGTCCTCAGCAGTGGTTGGTTGGTTCTTCATTGTTGGCGTAGACCATGCTTTTTAACTTTTTTGTCTTCTAATTCAACTGCTCTTTATTTTTCAGCAAACATACTTTAAGATTGTAAGTTGCGGAAAACTGTCTTTCTTTTCTTACCAATCTGCATGTCTTAAGGGACTTTTGTTTCTTTAAAATGATATTTTGATAATTATAAATGACTAATATAGTTTCTTTTTTTTTACTTCAAGCAGCCTTTTTGTTCTTGCTGCACATTTTTGGCTTTCTTCAGCAGAAGATTTCTTGAAGCCTGCGCTGCCTTTTTTAAGAGTACTACCTTTTGTGTTACCTTTGTTACTAGATTGAAACAGTGAAATAAAAATAAAAAAGAATAATAAAATTACCCAAGTACTTAATCTCTTTTGTTTTATTTGAAAGCCATTCTTCCTTGAAGCAGTCTCACCCATCTTCATTTTAATGATTTAGGAAAGAGTATTGTTTAGAGAGGGTTTTTTTTTGCCAAATGCAAATTCTTTTCCTGTGCTAGCACTGATGATGTGAAAAAAATAATCTCTATGTTTTTTTCATTGCATCATTTTCTGTCTGTGCACCTTAGCAAGAAAGTGACCCGACGTTGAGTGGACCTTCGCATACAAGCTTTTCATATTTTTAAGCGGTGTATTGTTATGGATATAAAAAGCCTTCTCTGACCATCTCTTTGGCAATGTATTTTATATTCATACAGGTGCCCTCCAAATTGAACTGAGTGAAGAATCTGACCAAGGCAAATATGAGTGTGTTGCAACCAACAGTGCGGGTACACGCTATTCTGCCCCTGCCAATCTATATGTCAGAGGTAGGAATGACATAACCCTGGCATTCACTCTTCATTCAGGTTCAGGGTTAAGATACTGTCAGGATCCATACAGTTGCCACTGTAACAGTCAAAATGCCATGGTAAATGTGTCAGGTGTAAGATTCATTTAAATGTATAGAGGAAAGGCTTGGGGGTTGTTCTGTTCTTTTTAAAGCTCTCTTGAGTCCAGTCTATCCTGTGGGTTAAGGTTTGTAAGTATATTTATATTTTTACATCTTGACTTCTACTTTTCCTGCATTAAGTTAAACTGTGCTTTGCTTTTATTTTCTTTCATTGGTTTTGGTTTGCTTTACTTTTCCTGAGGTGACTGCTCTGTGTGCTACTAATCAGCTGAGTTAACCGCAAGGCATTGAGGTATATGCCTACTTGACCTGCTACGTAAAGGAAAAGCTTCTAATAATATGTATGCTAATAATAATATGTATGCAGAGCACAACTGTATTTTCTTCTTTTCTATTTCTTCTTTATGTGTATGTATGTGTATATATATTTATATATCTATGGTGTAAGACTTGTGAGTGAAGTGTAGTCCTTACAATCATAGTGGCTATAGTTTTTGAAGAAATTACCTGTCTATATGACAGGTATGCTTAATAAGGAAACCATTATATTCCTCTGTACAGTAGTAGTAATATGGTAATTTTATTTTTTAACATATGAAAATATTCATTTGGTTCAGCTAGAAAGAAGTGCTTTGTTTCTGGCAGTATTTCCAATGGCTGGTTGACGTAGCTTTCTGTACAACAAAATTTATAACATACATACATGCATACATATGTGTATATATATGTGTGTGTGTGTTTGTCTACAGTATAAGGGGGTGGGTGAGGGGAATAGGACTGAAAAGATAAACAGCTATGAACTTTACTGTAGGATGGATAAACTTACCAAAAATACCTAGCTTGATTTTGAAATTTTTTTAGAGCTAATTTTTCAGTCAACCTGATATATTTTTACTCTTTTGGCTAATTGAAAAAGAAAAAAGGAAAGCATTTCATAGTTACGGCATCCATAGAAAGTTATTTGTTTTTTTTTCTCTTCTCCTCCAACTTACTGACTTTCCTGTACTGCATGAGGCATGTATACCTTTTTATCCAAAGGAAAATTTCAAAATTATGCTAGCTATTGTTCCTAACACCGTTGTATCTATGGAAAATGCTAACTTTTCAAGATGAGGTAGGAAGGTTTAAGTAGAGCAAGTAGAGATGTTCAAGTAGCAGTTGAAAGCCTTGATATGGCCTTTTTACTCTCTCTGTGTTTCCCTTGTTTTTCTCCTTCCCTCATTTCATTGTGTTCTGCATCAAACCCCCTACATCCCTCAGAGCTGCGAGAAGGTTGGTGTGTTTTTTACTTTTTACCCACCTTACAAAACTATTACTTATACCGATAACAAAGAATACAAATGAAATGAATGTAGCTGCATTGTGGCATTTTTTAAGTTAATGTTATGTTTCATCAGATAATGCCCTGGTCATGGCTTTTGATGAATGCTGGTATCTAACTGTTGTGCATGATAAGAGAGAATGAACCTGGATGCATGGCAATCTTTCTAGCTTTAACACTAACGTCTACTAAACTTGCTCAGTGTTCCTGCTTTTTTCTTCCCTTTTAATTTCCTGTTTATACTGATGCCTGCTTTTCAAGGAATGGTTTTGGCAGTTGCTTTTCTAAATAGCCCGCGCATGAAGGCTAAACTCTCCTTGGTCTATAAGGATTGTGTTCAGTACAAGGAATTCCTTGTTGCCTGCTGCTTGCTGTGTTTGGCCTCTGTGAACTGGCCGCTTACAGGTGTTTTGCTCTCTGCTTGTTCCCCTTCTGCCTGTCATCACTCATGAGGCCATTGAAGTAAGCCCCTTTTGCATCCCTAGAAGATCACAGAAATTTTATTGAACCCAGTGGAAAGGTTTCAGAGTAATATAGGTTTTTCTGTGTTTTTTTTTTTAACTTTCTCATAGTCTTTTATTTATATTTTCAGTGAATTAAAACTGTCTAATGATTAGCTTTCATTAACCCAAATGAATTCAGTTTCAAATACACTGTCCAATGAAAGGCCTAAATACAAACCTACCTCTCTCAGCTACCTCTCTCTCTTCCACCTCCCCCATATATGTGCACACCACTGAGAATATTTGAAGCAGGAACACTGATCTGTTATTGCCTGGTAATTTTCTCGGTGTTGTGTTTGCTTAAATATTATCTACTCTGTTAGTGCAATGTCCAGCTGTGTTTAAGGTTGCCACCCCTTGCTATCAATACAGAAATGTCTAATATTATCAATCCCTATAGCTTAGTTTGCTTTCCCTTAACTGTATCTATCTGTAGTGGAATCCTGAATGTTAAATGTTTTGTTATTTCCCCACTGGCCCTTCTTAGCAGTTGCTTTTTAACCATCTAAACTTAATCTAAATTTCTTTCTCCCTCAAAATCTGCACTCCTCTTAAACTTCTGTATATGTCAGCCTATCCTATTCCCATCTGTTTTAAGTTTTCTTTCCTCACCCAGTATGTTTTCTCTCTGAGTTCTTTTTATTTCAGCAGTTTTTACTCAGACGTTTGCCTCAGCATGATTCTTTATCGAATTCTGTCATTTGCTTGCCTGCATGACCAAATCCAGTACCTTGTACTGGCTTTGCCTATTTCTTTCTGTGACTATATATATGTGTATATATATATATATAATTTTATATATGTATATGAGTATATATATATGTGTATATATATATATTTGTACCTGTGTGTAATTATATTTTTTCTATGTCTGTTTCAGTGTTAGTGTGAGGTCTTGAGGCTGCATCTACTTTGAGTCTGAAAGCAAATGAAATTGCACTTTCAATGTACTGTAGGCAGTGTGTTTCAAGACTGTGATGTGATGATGAGGCCTAGCACATTCATTCACATCAATTGGAAGAGCGCAGCATTGAAGTTGGTTTTGGTAATCAACTCAAGCATGCTGTTGGTCTTCCAATTTTCTTCTCTGCATATATATATGTATGGGCATATAAAATGCATATATATGTGTGTGTGTGTGCGCACGTGTGCGTGTGTATATCTTTTGCATGGTGTTTTTGTATTGTTAGTATGTAGTTAGTTAACTGTGGGGTCCAAATAGGTCTGAATCAGCCTTTGTATGAATGTGCCTAATAATATCCTCAAATAAATATAGAATAATTCACCTTGTGTGCAGACAAAATTCTTGTTTAGTCTCATATTTCTTTTATACATATTTTCTGGCAGATCGGAATAACACGTTAAAACGTTAAATTGTGTCTGTACACTGCATGTAGTCTGTATGCAAGATATGGTTTCTTTTTTTGTATATGTTATTACCTTTTTCTGTGTTTTGTTCCAGTTCGACGGGTCCCACCGAGGTTCTCTATCCCCCCCACCAATCATGAGATCATGCCTGGCGGGAGTGTAAATATCACATGTGTTGCGGTGGGGTCACCAATGCCATATGTGAAGTGGATGCTAGGAGCAGAAGATTTGACACCTGAGGATGATATGCCAATAGGGAGGAACGTCCTTGAGCTTAATGATGTCAGGCAGTCTGCAAACTATACTTGTGTTGCTATGTCTACCCTTGGTGTTATAGAAGCAATAGCACAGATAACTGTCAAAGGTATATCCCAAGAATATATATTTGGACATAGTTCAGTCTTTTCTTTCATTCATTGCCATATTCTGAGCAAATACTTTTAACTGAAAGGGACTAGATGCCTCTTACCTTATTAAATCAAGAGGGTAAATATTCCAGCTAATCACTGGCATAAGACAAAATACAGATTTAAACAACAGTATAATAATAATAAATAAATTAATCATAACGCCCCAATATTCCCCTGCGTCTAGCTCCCAGCCTTCATTTCAATAAAGGATCTTAGAATCTTGCATACATTTGTTGACAGCAGGAGCCTTTAAAAAAGTCATTTGATTTTTATTGTTGCTGAGTGTCCAAGTATCATGTCCACTGAGTAATTGGAAACTAGAGGTTCCACAAATACCTGAAAATTTGATTGTAGTGGTGAACTGTCTGCTTATAAGATTCCTCTTCTGCATTATGTTTTTTGGGATGTATTGCAAAAGTGAGTATCATTAATTAATATCAAATAAAACTTACACTACAAAACTTGAAGATTTTCTGACAGATTTCTGGAGTAAATCACAATTCCCGAAAGCTTTTTCTGAATAAACCACATCTTCTTTCCATTCCAATCTTTTGTTTTTGTTGTTGTTGTTTCTTTTGTTTTTTAAGCTTCTTATTGTAATAACCGATGCCTAGTATTTCTTAGTGCTAACTGCACTTTTTGTTGTTTATCTTTAGCTTTACCCAAACCTCCTGGAACACCTGTGGTGACAGAAAGCACAGCAACAAGCATAACATTGACTTGGGATTCTGGAAACCCTGAACCAGTTTCCTACTACATAATCCAACACAAACCCAAAAACTCTGAGGAGCCATATAAGGAAATTGATGGGGTGGCAACAACACGCTATAGTGTGGCTGGCCTAAGCCCATATTCAGAGTATGAATTTCGGGTAGTTGCTGTAAATAACATTGGACGAGGGCCACCCAGTGAGCCTGTGTCAACAAGGACTTCAGAACAAGCACCTTCAAGTGCACCACGCAACGTTCAGGCTCGTATGTTGAGCTCCACCACTATATTGGTACAGTGGGAAGAACCTGAGGAACCTAATGGCCAAATACAAGGTTACAGAGTTTATTACACTATGGACCCCACTCAACATGTCAACAGTTGGATGAAACACAATGTGGCTGACAGTCATATTACCACTATTGGAAATCTGGTACCCCAGAAAACATACTCCGTGAAGGTGCTTGCTTTTACTTCTGTTGGGGACGGACCACTTTCTAGTGACATTCAAGTCATCACTCAAACAGGAGGTAAGTTAGCAATGAACAGAATAATAGATGCAGAAATTTTGCAGAGAGAGAATTTGAATTTAAAATATTGAAAAAAAAAATCTTCCTCTCAAGGATAGCCAATTTATTCAAGCAGCTTTTGTAGATAACCTTTTCTCTACTCCACAGTGCAGGTGATCTTTGAAGAGGGAAAATCATCCCATCACACTTTCATTTCTTTTTCCATCAGTTCCTAGAAGTTTTACTGAAGTTTAACTGAATTCTTAGGGAGACCTTCATTGTAGAGGTAGCTGAATGTTATGGCTTGTATTTGGCAGTGCTCTGTGCACCAAAAGTGTTTGTCAAGTAGTTCTTCACAGTTTTCTTTGAGGAGTTACCTGTGGTGGTAGATTTTGTTCAAGTGGCATGTGGTTCCCTTATGTTCGCTACTGAACCTTGCTTTTGGAAATTTATCATGTACGTGCGCTGCATGTGTATTTGAGTAATTGAACATGACAACATGAAAGCATAACAAACCAAACAAACCTTTGTATAGATTCAAGCCAGCAGTTGTGTACACTTTCGATTTATAAATCAAAACCAGCCTGCCTGTACAAAGAGCATGCCACAAGATCAAAATTTTCTTGGTTTATGTTTGCAGATAATTTGTTTTGTTTCTGTACAGGTGTTTTACATCCATGAATTTCTTTTATTTGCGAAGGACAAACAAGCATAGGGAAAAACATTACAGAAAATAGTTATGAAATCGAAAGTGAGTAGCTCTGGTGGAGCTACACTGCAGAAAGTACTTTACTATAGAAATAAAGGCTCCATTTTTCTACCACTTTAGAGACATCCATATGAATTATTACTGTAGGTCAGTGATTACCTAAAAATATTATATAATACTACTTGATTATTTTTTTACTTTTTTTTAGTACTGGAAAATTTCTTGTTGGAGAATTTAGCAGCCCTGAAATTCTTAAAAAAAGTTTCCCTAAAATGTGGCTGAAGACAGTCATGTTTCATTCACTTTTTAATTCGGCATCTTACCAATACGTATTTAATAAAAAGAACAGAAGTTGAGGTATTGACCTGGAACCTTTCTAAATGTGTTACGCAAAGGTCTAGGTGTTACTTTTTGCAGTATCTCAGATGAGAAGTTACTAAATTAACTTTTTTAGGCCTTCTAGTGATACTTTAAAATGTCTCTGTGCACTTGCAAATGTACATATGCACCATAATTTAATTTTGGCAGTTGTAATCTTTTTCTGGGACTTGTTTTTTTTATAGACACCTGACTTCTTGAATTCATGGGCAAAAATATTTTCAAGAAGAAAGAGTAGTAAGATCCTCTCTGTGTTTCACTTAGAACAGTAAACCTAGATTAGCAAGAGTTTGTCAGTGGCTTCCCCAGAGAAGGATGAGGCAATTGAAATAATGTGCACTGAGGCTTAGTTGGACCAGTCTAAGTTACATGACTTGCTGAGGTCACTTCAGAAAATCTCTGTTTATTAAAAGCTTCACAGAACTTGTCATTAAACGTGCCCATCTGCTTCCACTTACTGTTGCAATCTGAAGAAATTATGACATTAACAGTGCAGGAGGGATTCTGAATACTTTTTCAACTTTGTAACAGAGTTGACTTGAAATAGTTTATTTGTGAGTATGTTAAAGAACAAAACCAGAAATGTGGCATAAGGAGTCATTTTTGTGCTTAAAATACAAACATTTTAAGTCAGAAAAGAGAAAAATAGCTGAGAAAGTCTAGTGCAGTTCTCAGTTCAGTGTATGTTTAAAAATTAAGGTTGTCTCATTTTTCTATCCAGCAGTTTCTGTTCAGTGAGCACTGCAGAATAAAATGTCCCACCAGATTTGCTGTAATCTAAACCTGAATATGATTGTTTTGGTTTAAGTCTCTCTCAAGCTTGAAACTCATCCAAATAAATGCAGTGAATTATAGAGTGCCATTTAAAACCGGCAGAAATGCATTTAATGGAAACATATGTGAAAGTGTAAACATAGGAATGGGGTGGTGGTTGCATTTTGATTATTTTTTTATTTCTTTTTTTTTTTAAACAAATAAGCTTATCATTGTAAACATGTAGCTTAACTCTTATGATTACTCTGGGGACATTAGAGTATATCTACGTCAAAATCTGATTGACAGCTGTGACAGGCGCTGCTAGCTTGGTTTCCTTCAAAGCTTTCATCCCTTATGTGTATTCTGATCTTTAGGGAGAGATAACAGAAAATTAAGAATTTGTTTTATAAAAGCCTGTTTACAAGAATCTTTGCTGTCTTAGTACAGTAGAATTAACCTGTTGAAATGACCGTATGAGTGCCTTCTCAATTGCAAGTCTGCTGAAACACTGCTGCTAGTGAAAATTATGTTTCTAATTCAAATACTAGAAACATATAGTTTGAGGGGAAGAGAAGGAACCATTTTTCAGGGAACCAAACATAAAAAAAAGAAAAAAAGTTGTTTGGTGTTTGTTTTTTTTTTTCCAGTATTCTGCTTTAGTATTTTAAAGGAAAAGCCATGTCCTGTTGCCTGTTTGTTTTCAGCAGTCTTTTCTTTACTGTAACAAGACATAAAGAAATTGCATTGCCAGAAAATATCTGTAGGAATGAGACTTTTGAGTAAGGGAAGATCAATTCCAATAGGCTTTATTCTGCATCTTCAAGCAAAGGATTTGATTCTGCTGAGGATGGAGTCAGGATCAGGATATTATTTGGGTGAATTGACTTGCTATCACCAAACTTTAGGGAAATATCAGTATAAGCTTTAGTGGTATACTTTCATGCTTTTTCTTTGTTTCACTAAAAAAAAAAAAAAAGGCTCTGTTGCTTTGTCTCCATTTAGCTGCCCAGGACACACTTAGTATGTATCTTCGCATATTGCCTTCCTTTGTTTAAACTGCTCAGAAGTACACCTGTTTTCTGAACAGTACTTTTAACCTGTGTGTACCGGGAAAATTCTTGAGCTTTAAACTGAACAGCTAAGTTTTGGTTGGGTTGGGTTATAATGTGCAAAGAGAGGATGCTTCTGAAGGAATTCAGAGATCCTGTTTTTATTCTGAGCTTAAGTAGAAAAAAATGAGATTGAGAAGTACACAGCGTCTATTAGGTAGCTGATTATTGAGAAAAAGGGGAAATATATACTGGGAAGTGAATGTCTACGTGTAAGCGTATGCTTCTTTAAACAAAACCTCACAATATAAAACATACTGTTAATTTTAAACCAAGGATTGGCAGTGGTTTGAAGACTATGGATTATTACAGTTATGGAAAGCTGATCTTTTGAACACATGGAAAAGGACAGTGATGAAAGGGTTGAGCGTATGACTTGCAGGGCACATAAGCGGAACCTTAGCTTAAGGGAAAATTAGTTACTGGTTCTGGAGTTCTTATTGTAAAAGAAGATTGGAAATTCAGAGGAAGGGAGTCTGTAGCAAACATACAGTTCTGTATTGTAGCAAGCTAGCTACTTTGCTGTTTCAGTTTTTTTTCATGGACACGTGAATGGGGAAACCTCATGTTTCTGAAACTCCACAGTACTAGTGTCCTAGTGAAACATTTAATGGAAATAGACTTGCAGAAATGAAGGGTTGAGAGCATGCAGCTGGAAACTCAAATGTGATGCAAAGAAGCAGGTGGAAGAAGAGTGCATTAACTTTTCAATTGTAAGAGCTTCTCTGTGGAGCTTCATGCTTCTTCCAGAGCAAGCAGAAGCATGAACTCTTGGTCCCTTTCAGTTTCCAACTGATTGTAAATTCTCTTGATCAATGTATTATCCTTTGCAGGACAGATTTCTAACTGAACTGAATGAGTTTTTGCTAGGTATTGATTTTACCATGCCATGAAGCCCTTTCTAGTCTGGAGACCCTCTTCTCTTTCCACCATTATTTGCAAACCCAGAACACCCCTGAAGTGTTCTTCTGGTTTCTTCAGCCAGCTGAGGACCTGTGCGGGAAATTAAAATGACTTTCTAAATGTGAGATCTCATTTTATGGTTCTGTTCTGGTACTTGAACTAGGGACAGACATAGAACCACATATGCAGGACAAGGTCCATAATTTTGTGTTTCTGGTTATCCAGCAATAAACATGGAGGACTAGGCAAGCAAAAGTGTAAAACTTGGTATGAAGTTTTAAAAAGAGTAATTCTGGATTTTGTTCTTTGTTCTATCACTACAGTGTACTGTTCCATCATGTGTACTACCTAAGTTACATCATGTTTACAGTAAAGAAATAAGAGGTATACTTTGTGCATAAGGAAGTCGCGGGGCTTAATATATGTTTGTAGAGCACACTGACCTCAAACCAGAAAAGACAGAAAAGACAGTATTCAAAGGCTGCTCATGCAGTAAGCATCTGTTTAGTGAGCTGACCGTGTACAGCACTAATACGGAAAGTTAGATTTGATCTGTGAAATTAAAAACACTTCAGCAAAAGTATAAAGACCACTTAATGGATTTTCCAGTCACCCTAGGCTTTTTCTGTCTCTGCAGGAGACCAGTGCCCTCTGTCAGCTCCTCCAGTTTGGCATAGTTCCCATGTGCCACTGAAGAATTTTTTGAAGAGATGTTGTGTGTTCTAGGCATAAATCCTAAAGAGTTTAAAACTTATTATTCCACTTTTTTATCTGATACTTTTTCTTTGGCTTAAGCCTTGGTTTCCTTAACAGAGTTTATCAGCAATACAGTTTGTTTAGTTTCTGTTATCTTGTTTATGTTTTCTTTCTTCTTCATCTTCTCCATCTGTTTGGAGCAATGCATATTTTCTTGTCACCTCTTTCTTTTTGTCAGTGTTTTCAGCTTTAGAGTTGCATAACTGTGGTTGAAAGTGAGGGGAGACTAGCTTTTGCAGCAAGATGTTATTTTGACAAACAGTGCTTGGGAAAATTCAATTAACCATCAACTTGTCTTATAAAATGATAGAGAGTTGCAGACCTAAGATCATAAAGGTTAGGGTTTCTTTTTTTATGGAATTCTTGGAAGATGAGGGAGAGTCAGGAAATATCCTTTGTTCTCCATCTGCTGCCATATTTATCATAACAGATGGTACCAACCTTCGTATGGATCACTTGACCATTTTTGATTACTATTAAATTATTAGTATTACTATTACTGCCGGGCTGTATTCTACATTTGATGTATCCACACATTAAGCACAGATCATAGCATCACAGAACAATGCAGGCTGGTAGAGTGATCTGGGGAGGTTTCCAGACCCAGCACCTGCCCAGAGCACGCTCAGCCACAAGGTCAGACTGGCCTGATCAGGGCTTCACCCAGCTCAGGCGTAAACCTGCCCAAGGCAGTTCCAAGCTGCATGGGCCCCAGTTTGACCACTAGGTTGTCCTTGTGGGTAAAAGGCTTCTTATATCCAGCCTGAGCCTCTTGTATTTCAGCTTGAGCAGCTGCTTCTTGCCCTCCTGCCACACACTGCTGTGTAGAGCCTGGCTGCATCCGTCTGGTCCCATCACTCAGTGCTGGGCATGCTGGTGGGTGCCCCCAAAAGCCATCCTTTCTCTCAGTTGAACCAGCCCAATCCTGCAGCCTTTCCTTGCAGGGCAAGTGCCCAAACCCAGAGCCATCTTGCGGAGGCCCAAAAACAGATGCACTACCCATGTGGTCTGAAGTGCACAGAGCAGACAGTCCCTGCACCACTATCTCTCAGGCCCATCTTGTGCTCACACCACCCCAGGCACCACTGGCACTTGTTGCTACCTGAGCACTCAGCTGACCCCAGTGCAGCTTGCTGCCTGTTAGGGCTCAGGGCCATCCCCACCGCAGCTCCCTGATCCCATCAGTCACAGTCTGAATCCCTGCAAGGCTCTGTCTACCGAGGACAGGGCTTGCTGAACTTCATGGGAAACCATTGGCCTGTATGTACCTCCCTGCTCTCCAACTCCCTCTTAGCAGTGTCCTTGTCTTCTTAGAGTGTGTCAGTTGGTCCCCCTCCAGCTTGATGTCATATGCAAACCTGGGACATGTGCCCTCCATCACCTCCTCCAGGTCAGTGATAGAGATGTCAGACACAAGATAGCGTGGCACAGATAACATGAGCTGCTGTTTGACCTTCTGTGACCAGGCTAAGATGATTTTATAATTCCAGCTGTGTCATTCAGTTACTTTACCAAAATAGTCTTTTCCCTATTCTTTGACACACACTGAGGCAAATCGTGGTCAGTTTTACAATTTTTTTTCTTTTTGTCAGATGAAGCAAATAAATGCCTACAGCCAGGTATCCACCTGAGTTTCATTAGATAGATTTGGAACAACCTGTAGCAAAATGGAAACTTCCAAAAAGCTGCCTAGACTCCAGATTTTATTACTAAGTTTAGTCAAGCCTGCAGTGGGGCTCCACATCTACTTTGAGCCATGTTCCACAGGAGGAAAATCTGCAGCTGTTGTCTGGTTGTTACTCAGGAGTGGTTTGAGTCAGCTAACACAAAAAATTCTAATGTTCACCTAGTAAATGCATTTCTACAATTATGGTATAGATTTGCGAAGTTGAAGTTTAATCTAGTAGTACTTCAGAATCTGTTTCAAAGTCAGGAATTAACCAGTCATCCCACTCTATCCCTCTTAATTTCAAATCCATTCAGTTTTCAAAGGATGAAATTAGAAGCATTTCTGTCAAAAATACTTTTCTGATATTTCCTGTAATTGCTCCCTGTGCTTTGTGATTTTTTTTTTTCCCTTTTGCATTTTGCAGTACTCAGGAAATGGTCTCTTTTTTATACCAGGCATCTTTCAGAAAAAACAGCTAATTACTCCTATCCTCTTTTGTTCCCATGAAGAGAACTGGTCACCTGTTCACTCTCATTCATTCCCTCAGGAAAAGGCATCATCCTTCTACACCTTTCCTTTTCTATTTTGTCCTGTTTTGGGTAAAAAAAAAAAAAAAACAGTAGGAATTTGTAACCTCCACACAGGAGCCTGCATATGCTGTTTGTTGACAGGCATCTGTCTAAAGTCAGGTATCAAGCCTCTACAAGTGTACTCGAGGGCAGTATTATCCTCAGAGTGACATTCTGTAGAAATCTGGGGAAGATAAAAGTTGCAATCACTAATTATTTTTACCATATTCTCCATTGTGTTTCTAAGTCTTCTGCTGTACAACAGAAACATACTTGTAATGCTATAATAGAATTGTACTCCAAAAAATGATTGTGAAACAGTCTCTATTGTCACATCCCACTTGTTGTGCCTGTTCTCAATAGGTGCTAAGAAGTGCATCACATATTTTTTTCTTAAAAAAACAAAAGCATGCATATTTTATTCTTGAAAAGCTAGAAATGCCATAGAAAACTGTTTCACACCTTATCGACGGGACTATTAACTGAAAGTAATGCTTTAGATCTTGGGTTCTAAAATTATGAGATACATTTCAATGAATTATATTTTGCTGTCATCTCCCAGACAACCTTATTATTTGCCATGGATTTGCAGAAGCAAATGAGGGTAACATTAGTCTGGATAATTTCTGTGACCATTACACAAAACATAACAACAGAGAATGTTCTTGACTGCTGAAATTAAAGTTGTATTTTTATTTCTTTCAATTAGAAAGTGTAGTTACTAGAAATTCAGCTGTATTGGTAAAAATACTAGTCATTAAAAGGGTAGAAATATGTCACTTCTTACATTACTGGAAATCTTTTCAGCAGGTTATAACATCTTCACATTACAAAAGTATTCAATATTTAGGTGTCTTCTTAAAGACCGGGTTGTATTTAATATCATTGTTATTTATGAGCTGAGCAAAACAGTTTCAGATGCGTGTAATGGTTTTAACACTTTCTTCTTGACTATTTCAGCCAATCTTACATGATTCTAGCATTTTCCCATATGCACAGGCATATATATACACGTATGATCAATGTTTCACACATAAACTATTAGATTTCTAGTATTCATCACCAAGCTTCTGTTCAGTTGTATGTTGGTTCTGTGCATATTATTTATACTGCAAAACATTTATTTGAAATCCTTGATAATTTGTAGTGTGTGAATTAAATATATTATTATTCTTTTCTGAGCTCAGATTAATTTATTTCATAGTATACTTAGTTGGTTTAAGTTCAGTAAGTTCAATGAAAATAGTATTGTGTGAAATATTCAGATAATAGTTTAAAAGATTTGAAACATAAGTGTTGAAGTAGCCAAAAAAACAATTGGCAGCATTGCTCAACTTTTCCTTTAGTGCCTGGTCAGCCACTGAACTTCAAAGCAGAACCTGAGTCTGAAACAAGCATACTGCTTTCCTGGACACCTCCACGCTCTGATACCATTTCCAGCTATGAACTGGTTTACAAAGATGGAGAGCATGGGGAAGAGGTAAGGCTATACGTCTTTTAAATACTCTTTAATAAGTCAGACATGGAATAATGCAATAGTTAAAACTGATGGATTTGTAACCTTCTTTAGTACAAATGCCTTGAAGAGTAACAGTTTGTTAAACATAGCAGTCAGCCTAATGGTAGATTGAGAGTGTGTAAACAGCAGAACATGCTGTCAATGGGTACCAGCCAGTGGAACTTCACTGTTGACGGGTTATCCACAGAAGTTTCATCCGTTTTCAGACATTAATCATGCCTCTCTAAGGCTGTTCTTCTACAGTGGCTTGGAAGCAAACTCATTAAGATTTTTTGCACTTATACTTTGGACTTTGAAGTCTATTTCAACTTTGGAGAATTTTTGTTTCTCTTTGCCACTGTCTAGTAGTTCTCAGGATTCTCTAATCTTTCAGTAGTATTTGAGAAGAAATAAAGATAAAAACCTACAATAGCCATTTTCTATACCATTATTTCTTAAAAGAATTTTCAGTTTGAGTGGTTCTGTGGTGTTAGTATCATACACTTTAGAATAAACTGTTCTCCTGACAGGAAAACCATGTGATAGTGCCAGGTGTCCCAGACAAAAGAAAAAAGCCGGCAGTCTCAGAAGGCAGCAGGAGAGTGTCAGCCTCATTGATTTCTCCTGCATCATCAGCTCATTGCTGATGCTTCTACTGAGCTTATGTTTATGGTGGCTTCACACGCATTATGTCAATGCATAAGCTTTCTTTTGTGCAAGAGAGCCAGATCCATATTTTACCTCCAAATGAGATGCAGGCCCCTGCTTAATAAGCTGCCCTTTGGAAGAACTTGCTTCTTGATAATTTGAACACAAATTCAACTATCAGGTTATACCCATTTTACTCATATTAAAAAATTACTCATATTATAAAATCCTATAGTTCACTCTCACAATAAGTTGCTAAAAGTAAGCCTTTGTTCATCTCTTAGTGTCTGAAAATCCTTTTATACTTTGTACGCAGCTATTACTTCCTCAAACAAACAGTAAGTCTGGCTCTGAGTTTCACCCATTAAGCCGGTGGCTTTAACAATTATTCTTCCTTAGTGTGTGTTTGTCAAAAATAATATAATCCTCAGTTTGATTCTGTTCTGAGTTACATTCTTGAATTTAGATTTTTCTCAACTGGGTTATCATCAGAAAATAAAAGCCCGTCTTCTATAGGCAAAATATGGAATTCAAAATCTCTGAATATTAATCAAGACTTCTTATTATCTGTCTTTAGCAACGGGTTTCCACTGAACCTACTACATCTTATCGCTTGCAAGGCTTAAGGCCAAACAGCTTGTACTTATTCCGTCTAGCTGCACGTTCTCCCCAAGGTCTGGGTGCTTCGACGGCAGAAATCTCAGCGAGAACCATGCAGTCAAGTAGGTGTCCTTCCTTGCTCTGTTTATTCCCTTGTCTTGTATTGTCAGAGAGATCAGTCTCACAAGTCCAGAGATGCAGAAACAGAAAAAAAAAAAAAAGAGGCAAAATTATAAAACCGCAGCATACCCAGTGCTTAATACAGCAAAAGAATGCTTAAAAATGTGTATTTTTGTAGGTGTATTGTGATCTAATTAATATATGAATGACTTTTACATAGTTTGAGAAAAAATCTCTGTAAACCAGTGTCTAAAGAGGCATACTATGCTATATAATGTCATGCTGACATCATAATATTTTATTTATAATAGGATAAAATGTTTTATCATGCCATAGGTATACACTAATGACAATCCTCCACTCTTAAAATTCCATCTACCCAGTCTGCAGATTTCCTGCAATGCGAGGTTGTTCCTGAAGTACAAAAAATCTGTAGAGTGGGTCAGGTTGAATATTTCAGACTGTATCAAAGATTTCCATGTAACTATTTTTCTGTAGTAGCTAGTTGTTCTGATTTTTAGGCAGATTTTTTAATCTAGGGCTTTTATGATGCTCAGTCTTTTATTTTTTACACCAGCAGAAAAATTCTTTTTTCACTGTATGCCTATGGAAACAATGTCATGAAAGTCAGAAACTTTGTCTACAAATGTGATGCAAAAAATTGTAAGGGATTATATATACACTTTAAAAATATTTAAATTAAGACCTAATTAAAACAATCAGATATTTCAGGGATGATGTCCATAAGTGCAACTCTTGCCAGATAACTTAATGCTTTCCTGACAGTTTGCACTATAGTGTGTGATTTTAAAACTTAGTGCAATTCTTTCAAATTAAATGGCCTTTTCTTAAAGTAATATTATTCCAAACAGAAAATTCAGATTCTCAATTCATATGATGCTTTTTAATTTCCAGTCATGACAGATATGATTATAAATTCCTTGTTACTGTTATGTATTAATAGTAATTAGTGTGACTGGAGAAACAGTGCTGCAACCAAAGCTAGATATGCTCCGAAAGCATTTCTAAGGTATTTGGAGTAAGCATAAAAGGCAATTATATAACACAGTGCTAGATTTAGACAGTGGCAAGGCACCTTTTAATTTAAGTAATCCAGAATCAATAATTTGGTGAAGATAAAGGTATTTATTCTGGGAGCCATTTCAGCTACTTATAATGCTCATTCTCTTATATTGCACGAAGATTGCTTAGACTGTATACAAAATACACAAGCGACTAGTCTGCATGTTCCATACATAAACACATTGCCATTTTTCCTTTCTTGAATGTAAGAATATGTTACGCTTTTTTTCAGCCTTCTGTCTTCAAATAGTAGGAAAATCCAATTCATTTTGGTGGGCAGACCCTGGTTATTTAGTGAAAAGTGCAAAATCTTCTCTTGCACAATTTGTGTATTTTGAGAAAAACATATGCATTAGTAAAACTGGTTACACAAGTAACCTACAAATTATCTTTAGTTACATTAATGTAGTATTTTGCATTTTCAGAGTAAAATAGATTAAAAATTAATAAGCTTCTATGATTTGATTAGCAATATTCACCAGAATACGCTATTGCCTTTCATCTTGGTTTCAGAGAAAGATGCTACAGATGCTATTTCTTTACATATAAGATCCTTAAGGAAAATTTTACTTCTATCTTGTTTCCTGCACAAATCAATTGTAGAAGGGGACCGACATGTTTTGAGTACTTGGTTACTGAAGTAGTCTAAAAAAAAACCCAAACACAACAAATATGGTAATCTATTCCCCTCATCCACCTTTTCTAGTTGGTTGAAATGCTGGTACATTCCTTCCTCTTTTCCCTTCAGAAGAGCAGAGTATCATACTGAGTGAAAAAACATTGATCCTTGTAGAAGAGCTGTACAGAACCAAAAGATAAATGCAGTAGGTTACAGCAGAGTCCTAGATATTCTTTGTTGTTGGTTGGTTGTTTTTTCTTGGTTGTTGTTGTTTTGTTTGTTTTTTTTATGTGCCTAGTATAAGTACCAGAAATCCATTTATTTCTTTTTTTCCCTTGAGAAATGGGAAAATAAAAAGTAGACAAAACAAAAACAAAACAACAACAACAAAAAGTGATTTTGCACCCAAAATTTGTGTTTTCCTTACAAGAGAGAAGGGAGAAATAGGAAGGGAGTCCATGTCTATCACTTCTGCCTGTGAATTTGAACTATGGCTTCTTTTTTGGAGCTTTGAATGGTCTCAGGTAGAAAGCATGGATTTTGCTAAATCAGAGTGCATTTAAGCACATAAATGCATACCTAACTTTCAGTACTTGAATTGCCTCACTGAAAGCAGTGAAATGACATACACGTTTAAATGCTCTGGAGCCCAGAAAAGGTAAATGTGCTGCAGACTTCTTTGAGTACAAATCAGTAAATGTGAGCACTTTTGCTCTGGAAGATTGGTGCTGGTGACCAGAGATGAAACCAGGTTAGAATCTCTCACTGTTCTGATGTGCTGAGCTTGTGAACTCTGTAAAATGAATACCTGCTTTCTTGACACGTTGTTTGGGGGTAGATTTTTTTTCCCTGTAGAACTTACCTACATTACTGGTAGGATTTAATTCTTTGCTAGCAAAGGTGTCTCCAAGAGGAGTTAAAAAAATAAAACTGTCAGCTGATCTAGGGTAAGTACAAGTTACAGTCAGAGTCAACAAGCCTGTCACTTGTTCCTGGTAGGTAAAACTTTGACTAAGACTTTCTTCATCTTCTATTGACTGCATGCTCTTAGTATGTTGGCTACAATAAACGTTTCACTAAATGCTTTCCATCTAAAAATAATATGTGTTTGACTCATGCCAGGCAGACTCAGTTATAACAAAAATCCTGAAAAAATAGTTGTTTATGAGAGCGGCAAAATTATACTATATAATGGCAAAAAATGGCAATTTATGGAGCAATTTCTAGCAATTATTGCAAGTTTTTTAGGAGTTCTGTAAAAAGAGAATTTTTCTCAAAGTAAACCCACTTGGATATATCCAAATTTGTAATACATCATGTGTCATTGAAAATATTTTACCTTGCACTAATTGCAATTATTATGAAGATAGATCAGTAGTCATAGAAGTGTTATGTTTTTGTTTTATTTCAAGAAGAATTTTAATTACAGGTAGGTAACATTGTTTTGAGGTTTCATCTTGTATTTCCCCTGCATACTTTTTCACCATTTAGTTCGTCTATTCATTTTCAGTTTCCTCATGTTAATAAGCCAAGGTGCATATGATTATCTGATGTTTTGCTGTTTTAAGTTTCTACTTTTTTTTTCTTTAGCTATATTTGTTATTTTCATTTGGTTGCCTTTTATTTATTTTTATTTTTTCTTTTGTTCATTTTTTTCAATCACTCCTATCCTTTCACTCAAACCCTTCTTTAACCCACTACTAAAATTAGAGCCATCAGCTCCTCCTCAAGACATTAGTTGCACAAGCCCCAGCTCCACTAGCATTTTGGTAAGTTGGAAACCTCCACCAGTGGAAAAACAGAACGGCATTATCACTGAATACTCCATCAAGTACATTGGGATTGATGGAGAAGATGTCAAGCCCCATGAAATTTTGGGAATTTCCTCGGACAGTACCCGATACCTTTTGGAACAGCTGGAAAAATGGACTGAGTACCGGATCTCTGTGACTGCCCACACTGATGTTGGACCTGGCCCAGAGAGCTTAGCAGTATTGATTCGGACAGATGAAGATGGTATGTTGCCTCCACTACATCAGTTTGCACCTCTGTGACTCTGTCGATCTGCTATCTTCTGTATAGCCTAACTATTTTTTTCTGCTCCTCTTTTTTTCCCCAAATCACAGATGTTACCACCTTTTGAGTTTTTTTAATCAAAGACTTGCCCTTTCTACACCTTTTTTATATTTGGTATTTTTATTCTTTAACAGAAAGTAACTTTTTGTAAGTGACATGAATCTGCTGCCTCTTTGAGCCCATACATATCCTTCTTGCTCCTCCTTTAACAGAAAAATAACACTTGGGAAAATCTTTCTGCCTTTTCAATCATTGTTATTTTTAAACAGTTATGTCTAGGAACTTTTTTTTCTTGGTTTGTTTTTCTCTCACTTTTTTTTTTTTTTTAACTGCTTTCTTGTTCCATGTTGTGCTTTTTGATTTGGGTTTTTTTGGGTTGATTTTTTTTTTCCTAATTTTATTTTTGATCTTGGAAAACTGATGCGACACATGCTTTCTTCCATGCTTGAAAGTCACAGAAGACAGCCCTATAATCAGCCTTCTTTTTATACTGCTGAAAAAAAAAGAGAGACAAAGAATTTAAACAAAAATAAGGGAATCTTTTTTTGAAATATTTTGCGGTTTTAGTAGTAGTAACAATAGTAGTAGTATTTCAGTGATTAAAATATCTCTTTGTACTATAATGCTTTGGCTCTCAAAGCATCTTCCTTGGCTTTTGTACATTTTTACATGTTTTTCTATTTTCTCTAATACTCCTTTTTCTTCCATTTTTTGCATCAGTCATATTTTTTGATCTTTTCACTGAAAGGTAGAGCAGATTGGTTGAGCATTTTCATTTGTTGAACAATTTGTATTCTTCAGAGAAAACATGAGTGAGTCTGCCCTTAAAAAAAAAACAAACAAAACTAACAGATGGGTGGGACAGGTGCCTGTAATTCTCTTCTGTCCAATGATGTTGTTCCAGTTCCTAGTGGTCCTCCTCGCAAAGTCGAGGTAGAGGCTGTCAACTCTACTGCTGTTAAAGTGTCGTGGCGCTCACCTGTTCCCAATAAGCAGCATGGTCAGATACGAGGATACCAGGTCCACTATGTGAGGATGGAAAATGGAGAGTCAAAGGGTCAGCCCATGCTGAAGGACATCATGTTGGCTGATGCACAGGTAATTGGTGTATTTTATATTCTGTGGGTCACAGTGAAAATATTTTGTGTACCAGAGAGTTACCCGTGACTGCATTTCTTTTTCTTTCCGTATTTCAGCCATCTAGTTAACATCTCTAGAATTTTTCATCTGTATTTTAACAACTTTTTTTTTTTTCACAATACCTTTAAAGGTTGTTGAGCCCAACCTAGGAACCCTTTTGTGTATAGGTGTGGAACTAAATGCTAAACTGTGTCATTCCACTGGCTGTTTGAAACCTGAAGGCTTCACCCTATGACCTATGCTCTGACGTTTTAAAGCATCAGCTTGATCTGAGCCTGGTCACAGTCGATAGAGCAAACTGAGCACTGCCTGTTCCACCCACCAGATATTTCTGTATTTCGGTGGAGATCCTAGAAACATTAGAAGCCTGTTTTGGCTCATTATTACAGTGTTTCTATCATTAGCATGTATCCACCTCACCTTGTGTTTCAAAAGAGATTAATTTATTTGTGCAACTTGTGCAACTTAAAAATCATCAAGGTATTTATACTTGTCATTACCCATATCAGTAACTGTGCAATAAAATTAGGAGCTTAATTATATAGGTATGGAGTTACTTACTCTGCAATGTTTCCCATCTGTTTTGTGAACTATGAGACATAAAGAAAACAAAAACCTGATCATATCAAGTTTAAAAAGGTTCTAAAAATGTGATTTTACTGGTTGAGATACACTAGTTCTCTGTAAAATTAAACATTTCCAAGGTTCCTGGTACCAGAGGAGTCCATTCATCCTATATTGAAACTATTACCAAGTACACACCTCTCACTTCTAGCTCTCAATTTATGGTTGGAATTACTGGTAATGATAAGAAATTATGAACCTAGCATAAAGAGTTAAACTTGCCTCTTAAGCATTTTATATGATAAATAAATGGGGTTTGGCATCTTGTATTTTTAATTCCAGTCTTAGTTCTAAATCTCAGTTCTGCAGATACCATTTTTTGAGAGTATGTCTTCTACATGTCTTCTACCTGCATTTTGCTTATGACCCTATTCTCACACTTCTGTCTCTGTTCCTGGAGGTCTTTTTTGCAATTTTTCCAGCCAGTCTATCTATCTATATGTACTTACCGTTTTTTTGCAAAACGTGGTATTTTTATAGCTTAAATTCATTAGAGAGAAGGATAAAAACAGGTGGGGAAATAAGAAGAGAAAAGAAGAGGAAATGGAAAAGGAGATGCTGCTGCAATTTGGTTCTCTCTTTCCTTGCACAGATTTTCGCTTTCAAATTCTGTGTACTAGCAGTTCAAAAGGTCAGAAGTATTTTGGAAGGTCAGAAACTAGAGACGAGATGAGATATTAAGAGCCTAATATCATAAAGGCAAAAGCTGTGTTTCTTTTTTTTTTTTTGCCAGATTTGGCTTTGATCTGTCTGTCATTGGTTCAGTCTCTATAGTCACCTCCTTTCTCCTTTCCCCACTCCTTTCCGCCTATCATAACTCTGTGATACATGTGATCAGAACTTGTACATGTATGAAATCTTGATGGAAGAAGATCATTGTGGTAAGGTTTCAAGACTAACAAAACCCTGCTGTTAATTTAAATAAAGCATTGATGAATTAATTTGGGAAACTCAACCATATAGCATAGTAGCATGATTAAATAAAGTGGTATCCTTTAATTCTGCCTTGGTAGCTATTATTAATACAATCTTTTAAAAATTATAACTACATGGTACAAAAGGATTCATTACATTTTTCACCTTTCAAAGATAAGTGACTGTTTTTTTACGGAGAGCAGAAATGGAATTAAAAATGCCTGGTCTGATTTCAATAATAATTCAATAACCAAATTCTGTGTGATTCTACACGATTAATTCAAATGATATATGATTTTTTTCCTTTTTTTAATTTATTTTACTATTAAGAAAACAGGCTACAAATATCTTCATTTCTTTTGTTTTTACTTCCAACTCTATTTACTCTCAATCAGTGGGAATATGATGATACTACTGAACATGTGAGTAGTTTTTGACTGGCCAGACAAACAGTGTGTGATGTTTTGGTTTTTTTTTCTTTTCATCTTGCTTGTTTGTTTGTAGCCTTTTATTTTTCTGAGTTTTCTATGGAGTTTTTTTGGTTTGGGTTTTTTTTGTGCTGGATGTTTGGGTCTTTTTGTTTTGTTTTTCATTAGCATAAATGCATGCTCCTAACAAAAAAGGTTCTTTTATGGCACCCTTTTTTCTTTTTCCTTCTTTTTTTGGGGGGCGGGGGGCGTGGGTTCTATTATTGCTTGCTTGTTCTGGGGTTTAGCATGATACCAAAATGTACAGAACTGGCTTCTGTTTTCCTCTTTCTGATGACTGTCACTAACTTTGCTTCACTATTTCTCTTCCCAAGAAGGTGTTAGAAAAATAAAAAGTGATTCAGAGTTGCGTAGCTGTAGTCAGATTTTTCTGTATTCATTTTAAGGTTAAATTTTTTTGTGTAATTGAAATTTGAAATCAGTTGTGCTTTTATTGGCAGTTTGATAAATGTATTTCGTATGCTATCAGGAAAGCCAAATGCCCTGTAGTGTTATGCCTCAGTAGCAGTGTTTGCTGTATCCAAATCACGCTTTTAAACAACACTACACACAATCATATCTCCTATACCATGAGTACTGGTTGGTTTAGATGAGGTTAGTTCTTCATCACTCTTTGAAAGGATGGATTTAAGGTGCTTAGGGGTACATTCAATTCTGAGCTAAAGTCCATGTAGGGTATTTTTCTGTAGGGTTTTTTTTTCTATGTGTTTTTACCTTATTTGATCTATAATGTTCTGATTATTGCCTTGTTATTTCGATATTGCTAATAACTGACTGTGAATACAATGCCAAATTCTAATCACAACTACACTAAGCTCATACCCACTATATTGTAAAATCCATTTACTGTGGATAGTCTAACCCATAATTTTTATATTAACTTTTATGGTTGTTGCCTCTGAGCAGTGTGTGATTGCACAAATGCTATTTATTCTAGACACATAAATATAGCATCTCCCTGGCAGAAGTGAAATTTACTGTGAGTTCATTCAGTCATGTGAAGATTCAAAGGGGTAGTTCAGTGGTTACAGACTAGAAGCTGATGAGTTGGGAATGTTGGGCCAGTCAGTTGCCTCCAAAGATTGCCCTTTTATATTCGTATATAAAATTTATTTATATTGTGCATGTCAATTCTTAAATTCCTCTATCTGCCTTTACAGCATGACATAAGTTTAGTTTATTTCTGTTGGCTGGCCCTTCACCGTCTTCTGTGTGTGTACACGTGTGTGTATGCACATCTGTAAAAAGGTTCCCATTGCTTTAATGCTTGCAATTTGGTCTTGCTGCTGTTCTAGCTGAAGACCTACATGTTTTGTGGCTGCTGTCTTTTTTTTGAGGGCCATCAGATTTATTCTCTGGCCTGTTTTTAAATGACATTTTGGGTATTTTTTAGACCTGAAGAGCGAGTTGTTTCCTAAGTCCTATGAGATACACAGATGCACAATCCAAGTAGTTGCACAGGTTGCAAAGAAAGTGTCATGAAAATAACAAGGCTTTCTTGTTCAGCTAAACTGTCATTACTTACAAAGTGTGGATACGAATGCAACACTATTCTTACTAGGCATTTTATAGATATATCAGTGGTGTCCTGTAAATTACTAAGTTAAATGGAGTTTCTCATTCTTACATATGCATGCATTTCACAGTATCAGTAGTATTCCTCAGGCACAGTATTTCAGAAGGCTTTATTCACTGTTCACACCAAGAAGCCATTGGCCTTGTGCTTTATACTACCTGAGGCGTGCTATTTAGGAGTCTGCTGTCTTTTATTGCTTGAGTGAAACATTTTGCATTGTGAAATATTTCACACGGAAGAGTCTGCTGGTGTTTGCAGATGCTTGCTATCACTGCCAGTAGCACAAAAGCGTGTGCACTATATGTAATAAACAGGGGTTGTCTGAAGGATTCCACACTTTCCTGGAAAACAATCTGCTTTTAATAATGTGTTCTTGTTTTATTCCATCTTAGGAAATGATAATTTCTGGGCTTCAGCCTGAAACTACATACTCCTTCACCGTGACAGCCTATACAACAAAAGGTGATGGAGCACGCAGCAAGCCCAAACTCGTATCTACTACCGGTGCAGGTAATACTCACATATCCATTAATTTCTGAATAAATCCTCTGACTTTTCCTGATAGTGTTTTTCTTCTACTATTTGGAAGTCTGCTGTTTAGTAAAAAGTGTTTGTAGGACATAGGGTTTTCTATTTCAGTATTTGCCCCTTCATTTATTTAGATAAAAACAGAACCAGCGTCCCCCTTTTTCCCTTTCTCATCAAGATTTAGCCAAAATGTAATACTTTATAGTTTCTAGCACCTCTTGCATTATGATTGGTGTCTTCTTGGAGAAGAAAAAACAGAAATTCAGAACTGAGAAGGATACGTGGAAAATCAGTGAAGGGCTTTCCTGATCTTTGTGAGAGAAACAATTCTGCTGCCTGCCAGTAAGAACATTGAAAGAACCCAGCTGTATGACATTTACAAGTTATCTCAGAAGAATGTGATTATTAAAGCAGACAATTAGAAAATGGAATGAAAGTCCAGCCTGTGAAACCCTTTAACTCATATTTCTTTGTGGCAATTTGAGGCATAAACTAGGCAAAGTACACCATGCTACTGTGTTCAGTCTGCATTTGATCACAGGTGGTACGAGATGGTGGGTATCTGACTGCATGAGCAATTCAGCTCATTCAGTTAGCACTGATGGGATGAAATGAATTGCTTTTAGATGAGGAACTAGTTGGGTTTGTTTTTTTTTTTTTTTAATTTAGATGGTTCAGTCTGGCCAGCTTAACCTCTTGGTGGTGTGGTGTTCACCTGCAGGTGCTCACAGTCTGTAGGTGTTTATTTGCTGAATTTTGTATTGTAGCCATTAAGGGTAGTCTATTACAATCACATGTAAATCTTTGGTGCACAATTACAAGCTCTCCTAATAACAGTGTATTGTTTATGCTTATATATATAAAGTTACAAAGGCATATGTATTCATATTTAAACTGAGTCAATTTTTAAAACGATCACTGAATGTAAAGCACATCTTGTACAAATATCAGGAACACCTATAGCTTTGTCTCATCAGCTTCTTTGGAAGAATCTGTCTTGGTGGCTAGATACATCATATGGTTTCATTTCAGGTTTTATAATACCTTTTATTCATTACTCTTGACTGATGCTGAATTTAGTTTCGAGCTTCTTACCTTTACTGAATTCTTATGGTCTAGGGAAAAAAAAAGTTATATATACGTCTTATTTACATTTGAACTTTATACGTACTTCTTCTTTACATTTGAACTTAAGAAAAAAGGCACTTGATCCATTGCTCCTCTTAAAGTTCAGTTTCCTATTTAAGTAAACACAATTATATAGGTTATGATTTAATTAGTTTCTAGATACAAACATAAGTTATGCAAACCTGCTTGCAAAACTTGAAGCTTCTGCGCATTTAGTCCTTGCTGAATATTCATATTTCACTCTTCCAAGAGCTCTGATGCTTCTGCTTTAGAAAGACAAACAAATCCCATAAACCCCTGAGTGACTGAAGAGCCCTTGAGAATCAGAGACATGCCTGTAAAATGTAATGCATATCACACTGTTCTTGCTGTTTGCTTTAATCTGTAAAAAAATAATATTTGTTGGTAGTCTCTAGGATAACAGCTAGTTACAGTTTTGATCCTTCATACATTCCAGGTTGTATGAACACCTCTTCACTTGCTGTTATAGCTTGCTGTGGTTTAGTTCTTTTTGTAAGGAAGAGTCATATTTTATTTTTTTTTTAAATGGGGATAATAAATATAGTTAGTACCAAGCTTTTCCAGCTCATTGTTTTTCTGTGAGAATACATTAGGCAGATGAAGGAATCATGCATATATAACAAGGTCTTGTAGATCTAACATACACCCTCCTATTCTCTGAATGTTTCCATTTGTGTTTTTTTTTGTGGTTTGGGGTTTTTGTTTTTTTGGTTTGGTTTTTTTTTCTGTAAAAAGGTGCTATTCAAATCCTACAATAAAGCAAATGAAGGGTCTGACTTTCTAGTCTACTTTTTAAATGTTTAAGTTGGATACAGCTGCATTAGAATGAGCGAGATTATATCCATAAGAGATAGGAAAAGAAAATAAAGGTCTAAATGTTTACTGGAGAAGCTTACTATTCAGAAGTTATTCAGATGATAAGTAACTATTCAGCTGTGTCCAGCTAGTGATATAAAAGCACCATTTACATTTAGGGGGACAGAAAAGATTCACTAAATGTAAGTAAGCCTGTAGCGTGGTAACTGTAATTACTAGTGAAATAACTGAATGCTGTTAATCTTGTGCTTTTGTCTTATAGTCAGTTTCCTTTCCTACTTTTTGAAATCAGAGAGAAGAAAAGTATTTGAAAATTTTGAACTATTTGGGGCAGAAGCTGTTAACAAGACCCTGATATAGATAAAGATTTACTACTCAGTGATACCATACAATTTTTATGAAGATTTTAATTAGACCTTTTAATTGCCAGGTCATAGTAATTGAAGAATCTCATACCACAATAACTTCTTCATTATTTGGACATTATTACCCCCTGTTGTAGACAGCACCCTTGAAATACAGATTTCAGCTGAGAAGAAAATTTGCGTTAAGTCAGTGGTGTACTTTAGGGCAGCTAACAGAAACAAATTACTTCAGGTAATTTGGAAAAGGGAACTTACACAAGCTTGTAATGGCATGCAGTTAACAGCTGTTTGAAGCAAAGACTGTTGCAAAGGGATGTGTAAGGGGCATCTTGCTGTGTAGTAACAGAGGTGGATTTTGCCAGATCAGAAAATATATTTTTGTTCATGGGCAATTTCACTTCATTTGGGCTCATAGACTTTATCAGAAGAAGTTTCTAGATTCATTGTTTTCATAGAAGAGCATGGAATCCTACCTTTTGTCCCACAAGACTGTAATATTCACAAGTGATAATACTAAAAGAAAACGTTAACGGAAAGCTTTCTGAAAACAGAGAGAGAAAAAGAAAAATACATTTCTTTCTCCATCAGTAGTTGCTTGTTAGCAACAAGGAAATTAACACCCTTTACAAAATTGGATAGACTCCATACTAAAAAGAAAATTTGTTGTTATTTGCCATTTTAATGACAGGGTATGTCATTGCATAAGTAAACTTTATTAGTTTCCCTGTTCTGATCAAAAGCAAGTAGTAATTTCTTTCTCTGTAGTTACCACAAAGGTTAAAAAATAGTTCTGTGAGGTCTGCCACAAAGGAAAAAAAAAACAATTTATAACAAAAATAGGAGTTATTATTCTATTTGTATGGACTTGTCTTCTCTTTCGTATGCTCCATTGGTTTCAGTAATAATGTAGAGAAAAATATGGCCTGTAAAAGGCCTTCACAGGCTTTTCTTTGCTCTATAAAGGCATGTAATAATCAATGACAAAAAGTCTGAACTAGTCAGAGAGGTAGTCTTTACACAGCAGAAAGTGTAGGAAAACCTTCCTAGGAATCCCAAGAATAATGCTTGCAGGTGAACCAGTCATTTAAAATGAAGGGTATTTGGCAAAAAGGGTATTTGGCAAATTTATATAAAAACTATCTATAATTCTTATGCAATTAGAAGCAATGTCACAGCTTATGACAGATACAATGAGGAAAGATCTTATTAAATGCAGATTTTTTTTTTCATGGCGGGCTGTTCCTCACTCCTTATTTCTAATTCATTATGGAATGGTAGTTAGAACTTCTGACTTTGCTGGGTGCCTGAGAACTGAAGATAAGTAATAAAATCCGCTGAAGTGTTTAAATGCAGGAACCAGAGCTCACAGTGCAGCGGTTACATTCACGTGGGAAGGCTTTGAATGTGAATGGAACTAATTAGTCTGTGGAAGACTGTTATCATGGCACTGCTACTTCCAAAACTATTCTAGTCTCTTGACTTGTCAGGCATTGGTACACAATGAACACCAAATTTAAAAATAGTTATGGATATGCTTCATTATCAAATAACTAATTGTAATAGAAACAGACTTTTGCGAAATAGAAATATTAATGAAAATATAACTGAAGTATATATATGTATATAAATGAATAAATAAAAAAAATGAATGGTTAAATTAAATAGAGACAGTAAATGAGAGCAATTGATACTGGGACTCTGAAAATGTATACCCTGTAAGTTGTATAATAGGATTTCCCCCTTGGTTAGAGCTGAATGTCCTCACCACGTTTGCAGGCTGAACTTCTCTGAAAGACAAATCATCACTTTGGACCAATAGGTCTCAATTAAGGATTTTAGTTTATCTATCTGGTGTGCAGGTTATGAAGAGCTTCCAATTTAGTATTCTTTGAAAGAAATCCAGACTTTGCAGGAAACTAAATCACATGTGATAAGCCAAGACAATCAAGAAATTGAATTCCAAACTGTGCTACCATTCCAAGCTGAAATAGCCCATGGAGGTGATTTGTGTATGGAAAGTTGAATGATAGGGTTTTACCATACACAGCAATGATTGTTGACGACTAGGTTGGTCTGACTTCCCTTCTAATGTTATGTTTGTTATGTTGTTATGTTATGTTATGTTATGTTAAAAAATTATGTTAGAAACACCCCAAAACTTGTAATTTCTCCCTTATTATTACTAGTACTAGTTATTGTCATTAATTATTTTTGCATTTGCAGGAATGGCAGATATGTGCCTTGGATAAAATTAAAGAATACTTATGACAATGCTCTTTTTTTTTTTTTGCAAGACCATTTGCAGAATCATTCATAAGATGGCTGTTTGAAGTTTTACTTCTTGACTTTTGTTCCTAAGTCCTGTGCCTCTGAATGTTCTCTCTATATAGAAATAATGGTAAGGAAGAAGTCACAAATGGCTTTCCTATAGTAGCTCATTATACTGTATGACTTAATAGTGCAGGAGGCAGACATTATTTTTTCCATGAGACAGTAATTTGTGGAACTAAGAGTGAGGGAAGGGAAAATTTATCTCTATTTCTGCTAAAACTAGCCTCAAGAATTGTACATGCAGTTCTGTTTGTATTTATCATCTTTAAATAACACTGTGCTACAGTTCCAGGCAAACCTCGTCTTGTGATTAGCCACACACAGATGAACACGGCTCTAATTCAGTGGCACCCTCCTGTGGACACTTTCGGCCCGCTGCAGGGTTATCGCCTGAAGTTTGGTCGCAAAGACATGGATACATTTACAACCATGGAGTTCTCAGAGAAGGAGGATCACTTCACAGCTACAGACATTCACAAAGGAGCTTCTTACATCTTCAGGCTCTCAGCTAGGAATAAAGTGGGCTTTGGGGAGGAGATGGTTAAAGAGATTTCTGTTCCTGAAGAGGTACCCAGTGGATTTCCCCAGAATCTCCACTCAGAAAGTTCTACTTCTACATCAGTTCAATTAACTTGGCAGATGCCACTCTTGGCAGAAAGAAATGGCATTATCACCAAATACACCATCATGTACAGAGATATCAATGTTGCTTACCAGCCAGTTGAACTCCCTGTTGTTCCTGCTGATACCACTATGACACTTTCTGGCTTAAAACCAGATACCACATATGATGTAAAAGTACGTGCCCACACAAGCAAAGGGCCTGGTCCATATAGTCCAAGTGTCCAGTTCAGGACACTACCCGTGGATCAAGGTAGGATTTGTCTGCTTATGGCGTTGACCTTTAAAGGAGTATCGGTCTTTGGATATCAGTGTTTTTGAAGCTGTAAATAAAACTGACCGGCCCATTCATAAAAATAGGTTCATCAAACACAAAAGGTAAAGTATGTAAATCTTAATATGTTTTGGATGCCTTAGAATTCAGTTGTCCTTTGCTAAGCAAGTTCTGGCTAACATCTTCACAATTTTTTCAGGTAAGGAAAATAAACGTGTTGGGTTGTCATTAGATAAGAGTGAAAATGAGTTAGAATGTGGTATATAAATATACACAAACAGGTAGGAGAATTTAATCCTAGTTTTTTGTTGATTTTTTTTTCCTAGATAAAAAGCTAATACTCTGAGTTAGCAGTGGAAATATGGCAAGTCCTAACCTCCAAGATGTTGTTTATATACATTGTTTCTTTTTTTCCAGCAGTGTTTGCAAAAAATTTTCATGTTAAAGCAGTAATGAAGACTTCCGTTTTGTTGTCCTGGGAAATTCCAGAAAATTACAACTCAGCCTTGCCTTTCAAAGTAAGTTACTTTCTATTTCATTGAGAGAAGATACAGAAACTAAAGGATGGCATTCACCTGGTTAAGTAGCTTACTGAATATGCCAGTTTTTTTGGTACTGCTGTGTTTAAGAATACAAGCTAATCAGCAAAATTGACCTAAACTGTTAAGCTGTTCATTTGTCAGTATGAGCTTTCCCCTGTTGTGGCAGTATTTCCAAGTCAGGCTCATACTGGTTGCTATGATTTGTATGAACACCTTGCTAATCTGCAGTTTGATGCTGCTATACTTTAAGTGAAAGAATGGAATATATATATGTGTGTAGATATATATATATATTTAGTTATTTCTGTAATGACTGTAATTGAGTACCATTTTGGGTTTTGTCTCCTCACATTTAGAGTAACACATTCTTGCGTTTCGGTAAATGCATGTAACTGTAGCATTAGCCAGATGATAGAGAGACTCAATGTAACCTTCAGTCTGACTGGCATTTCTTCTGCATCACTCTTCATCGCTTGTCATCTCAGGCAGTAGCAAGTAAAGAGCAGCAGTGTTTTATAAACTAAATGTTGTTTTCTCAACATGAAAAGTCAAGGTGTACTACCTTTAACAACTATGCGTAGATATAAATGCTGTGTTCAAGCAGAACTACTGATTTTGAATGAGTGAAAATTAATTTTAGGAATGCTTACACTGCTTTAAATTAATGGAGGTTTCTGTTTTGTATTTTTTCCTTGGAAAGTGAGTAGTTTAATTGTGGTACTGAAGCTAGGGCTATCTCGCAGCCTAAAATGCCCATTAAATTTTATAAATTTTATAAATTTTATAAATTTATAGCTAGTTCATTCCTGAATTCACTGTGACAGTAAGAATTGCCCTATCTCAGTAACCAAAATCGCCTTCGATTTATATATTAGATCCTGTATGATGATGGGAAAATGGTGGTGGAGGTTGATGGACGTGCTACTCAAAAGCTGATCACTAACTTGAAACCAGAGACATCATATTCATTTGTGCTGACAAACAGAGGGAATAGTGCTGGGGGTCTTCAGCACAGAGTAACAGCAAAGACTGCACCAGATGTGCTTCGCACCAAGCCAGTTTTCATTGGAAAGACCAACTTAGATGGCATGATAACTGTGGAACTTCCAGAAGTACCTTCAAATGAGAATATAAAGTGAGTCAATAAATAACATACCATTGTTTTTATTTCCAGAAAGACCATTATGCTTACAGGTCGTATAATTTAGAGCTATAGTGGTGGACCAAGGCTTTATTCTTTGTATAGAGAGTACAGCACTCTGCAGTAGTATGTGGACTAATACTGGACTAATATTTTAACAATACCAAACTGGGAAATGCAGTTGACGCTCTCGATAGACAAGAGGCCTTACAGAGAGATCTAAATAGATTGTAGAATTGAGAAATCATCAATGATACGAAATTTAACAGGAACAAATGACAGGCTCTGATGTTCATGTACTTGAATATGTCCAGCAGAGGCCAACAAAACAGGTGAAGGGGTTGGAAGGCATGTTCTATGAGGAGAGGCTGAGGACTTTGTGTTTGTCTAATTTGGAGAAAATGAGCAAAAGGGGTAGGTGACCGTAGAGCTCTCTACATCTTCCTGAGAAGGAGAAGTGGAGAGGGAGGTGCCGGTGTCTTCTCCCTTCTATCCAGTGACAGAATGCATGGGAATGCTTCAAAGCTGCAGCAGGGGAAGTTTGGATTGGACATTAGGAAGCATTTCTTTACTGAGAGTGTGGTCAAACACTGGAACTGGCTTCCTAGAGAGGTGGTCAATGGCCCAAGGCTGTCAGTGTTTAAGGGGTATTTGGACAGTGCCTTTAATAACATACTTTAACTTTTGGTAAGCCCTAACGTGGTCAGGCAGCTGGGCTAGGTGATCTTTGGGCAGTTGGACTAGACTATTCTGTAAGTTTGTGACTTACAAGTACGTAAGACTGGTAAAATCTAGATGGAAATCTATGAAGGATAATTTTCCTTCAGTTTGTAGTTATTTCTTGCAGTACTTTTGTGTTTCATCACTGATTTCAAACAGTATAGATGGATTATGGAAGCTAGTTGTGTTTCGAACGTGTGCATCAGTGGGTACCTGCCCCGCTGCAGCACCTTGAAGTATTCAGACTCCACCATTTGAGAATTACAAGGAGTTTTAAAGAATTGTTACTGCATTTATATTAATTCAGACTAATTAATTCTGAAGGTTTTTTTTTATTAAAAGAAGAATCTCAGGCCCTCTCTGCTGGTCCCAGAAAGCAAGTAGGAGATTTTGCTGAAAAATTTGTGCAAGAGTTTGCTAGAGGTTACTTAGATTTGTGGTGGAAAGGTGCTATGGAGATTTAAACAGCAGAAATAGGACTAAAGAGCTGGCAGCACATGGCCATCTGGGATTAAAAAGGTTAGACAATAAATATTTGACAAGAAAACATGCAGCATGGTACAATCAATAAGTGTTACTGCTCTGCTTATAGTGATTCTTGTTGGTATAAGGTTCCCATGTGTAATGTGAAGGAAATGGGGAGGAAAATGAGCAAGTCGTTATATATTGTTGGGGATTCAACTTGTCTTCTCCGTCATGGATTTTTACTGAAAGCTCTGGAGAATGCTGCTTTCCTTTTTCATTGCTGACTGAGGATTTTGAGGCAGGTGACTTCAAGAAAGAAATTACTTTGGGACATTAAAAGGACAAAAAACCAAAAAAATTAACCATCATCATTACTTTGAGTAAGTTGCGCTCAGTAACAAATGCAGCCAAGGAAGACTCAAGATGGAATGAGTCAAGAAAGATTTATAAGCCAGAGCACTCTCAGAGAATACAAAAAAGCAGGGTAGCTGGTCAAACAATAACAGAAGGTAGACGCAGAAAAAGAGCATATGCCCTTCCTTTTTTGTAGCATAAGAAAAAAAAAAAATGAAAGAGGCAAAGTGACATCAGGAAATGTACATTAACCCTATGTTGTCCAATTGCCAATTTTGCAAATACTGTATCTCCTCCTACATCTATTTCCTAAGATGTGATCAGGCTTGAGATAGAAAAGACAAAACAACAAAAGAAAGATAGAGTTTACCCTTGGAAATGGGCATACCAAAGCGACACCATACTGAACAGAAAAAGCTTACTTGATACTTCCTAGAATAAGTAAGATCATTGCAGGTAAGCCTTTGTACAAGAAGACCAATTTTGTGTAACAGTTATGCTGACACTTTTATAGTTGCTGTTCTTCTGTCAATACATTATATGCTCAGGATTGTCTCTATCTTACTATGAAGTACTATGAAGTATCGTGAGAAACTTTCAATAATGTTAATTACACAGAAGGCAAAACATGTAATGTTTTAGTCTAATGCATTATATGTAAATACTAATGGGATTTATGGTAACGTTATAAAAGCCTTTGTAATTAATTAAAGATGGTTGAAGTAAATGTCATTTTAGAATTTGATGGTGATACAGCATAGAAATTAGAGCAGAGTTCACATTAAACTAGGTAAAATGGATCTTGTTTGGTGGCATCATCTTAAGTGATCAATTTCTTCGTTTTCCTCTAGTGGTTTTGGCTAATCCAGAGCAATTTTTATGTGTAAAGGGCAGTTCATATTTCTCCATCTTTGCAGCCTTAGGTAAAAAGAGAGCTTTATGGAAGATTTTGGCCTTTGTAGTACTCAGTAATTCAAACAATTTCTTCCATCTTTGCAGCCTTAGGTAAAAAGAGAGCTTTATGGAAGATTTTGTCCTTTGTAATACTCAGTAATTCAAACAATATCCAAGCAAATCCTCCATTTCTTACCCTTACCTCTCACTCAAAAAAAAAAGGCCCTCACAAGAAACAAGCAAATAATAAAACAATTTTTTTGAGAGATGCTGAATTCTCTGTAGTTAGCTAGAAATAACAGAAATTTGTTGCCCTTTACAATTTGCAGCTCTTTATATTTATGTGAACAGTTTCATTTTTTCTGCTTGCTGTTGATGAACTTGTGCTTTCAGCTTTAAAATACTCTGCGTGTGCTGAAACTCTTGGTGATCAAAGTTATGAGTGGGAGGCATGCATGAAGAAAGTGTGAAAGAGTATAAAAGTAACATTTACATGCTGGATGTTCCTTGCTTTAAAAAAGAAGTATGAATATTCTGTTAACTTAAAAAAAAAAAAAGAAAAAGAAGAAGGAAAAGGATAAATAAGAGACTGCTGTGCAGTTCATTCAGCATGTGTATCTTTGATGTCTATACAGGCCAATTCTCAATTGTTTTTTGTCTTGATTCTTAGGCATCTGTTAAAGAAAAGGCATATAGGTTGTAGTTTTTGTATCCCTGAGGAAATCAGCATTCAATAGGAGTTGTTATTCATGTAACAAAAGAATTTTTTAAATACATGGTCAGGTTTAAAATCTGGGTTCAAAATGTTTGAACCCAGAATCTTAATTAAAATCTTAATTAAGGTTTAAAATCTTACTCAAAATCTTTGTAGTTTTGAATAAGAACATTGGTGTATAAGATGATTTACCATATTGTTACTATAAGAATGAACAGTGCAGATTTTATTTTAGTACTGGAATACAGCAAGTGAGCAGCCTTTAAAAATCTGTCGCCAACAATTCTTGCTTCCAGCACCTCCTGTTGGAGCTCAGCATATCCACAGAGAAAATTCTCAGATTTCTTAATGTAAGAATTAATAAATATTTGCATTTACTATGGTAGTTAAAACTCCAAATTTTTGTTACATTGTTTCTTATGGAAAGGAGCTCTAGTTAAGAAAAGACTGTTAAAATGGACCAATGGCATGGAAGAAAGATAGCTTATAGAGTTAGTTTAGCCTGATATAGTTTTTGATTAATTGTAAGGCAAGTCCTTTTCTGTAGACTCTTCTGTTAATTAGTTTAGCTTTTTCAACTTAATTGCACGAGTAAAATAGAGCTGCAAAAGGTTGAATAGGCTGTAAAAAATGGCAGACTGGAAGAGAAGAAGTTGGTCCATGAGACACTAAAATTGTCTTCCACAATGGGGAGATGAAGACACCTTAATAAGCTCTGTTGTTACTAGAAACAAAGGAGAGCAGCTACTTTCCCTCTCGTCTGATATGCGGAGTGCTTGACTTTTTGACAAGTGTGTTTATCAAGAAGATGTATATTATACCATCCTGGATGTCCTGCTGTTGTGATTCTACTGCTTCTTTCCTCACATTAATGTGAAATTATGGATCTGCCTGACATGTATCCAGGCTTTATGAAGGAAACAAGGGAAGTGCCATATCTATTATACTAGAAAGCATAATTTACTAGTCTCCATGGGGGGGAGGACAAAGATATTTTCAGGAAAACGTTTCTGAGGAAAGCTGATTTATGTAATTTGCAAATCCTAGCTGTAAAGAAATCATACATCAAGCTCTCTTGTCTGTGACTGTGAACAGAATACTTAAGTAGATAAAGCTGATGATGATTGATATTCAAAAGGAAAGTGTGTGGGGGTGGAGTGCATGCTATGTCTTCTGTGTTTTTTGTTTATAATGGTGTTGGCTTCAACAAACACATCATGTTAAGCTACTATCCTGATGATACATGAAAATGAGTGAAGATGGAGTGATAACTGAGATTTAAATATATGGTAATATGTGTCAGTTTAGGGGCTTAGGTTTTCCTTCTGTGATGGTGCCAGGACACAAATATCCCACAGCTCATGTATTTCAAATGAAATAATAAACTGCAGTCAAACGTAGGCATTTTAGAACATTGCAATTAAAGTTTCTTATACATATTTATATGTTTACATGAAAAAGCAGGTAATTAGTGCCATTTGTTTGTCAGATGCTTTACACTGAATGTGGTTTCAAGAGTGTGAGTCTTTATAACTGTGCTTGGAAGGCTGCAGTGAAATAACAATATGCAAAAGTTTGGTCTAAAAATACTTCTCTTAAGCTTCTATGAATAGACACCTACTCCATCAATTTATCTATTACTTTTCCTTCAACTTTTGTCCAACTGTTTCCTTTACAGAGGTTATTACATAGTTATTGTGCCTTTGAAGAGGTCTCGTGGAAAGTTTATCAAACCATGGGAGAGTCCGGATGAAATGGAACTAGATGAGGTACTCTATGGTTTTGTTGTAGTCTTCTCCTTTACTAAAGGAACAATCTTATTAATGCTATGTGATTAACCTACCACTTTCAGACATTTTGGTTGTCAGGATATTTTATATTTGTATTTGAATTAACCTCTGGGGACTGTAACAAAAGTTCAAATTAGAACTTAAATTGGAAGACAGTAAAGACATTAAGTTGTCATAAAGCTCACTGTCTGATCTTTGTTGGCATTAATATTTTTAGTATTTTCCTATTGTAAAGCATAATGCTAAAGTGCAGAAGGTGAAATGAGTTGAAAACAAAAGCTTAATCACCAATGATATGAACTCTAATAAAGGTCTGGTTCATTAGTGGGGTGTTTACTAAGCTTTTAATAAATGCTAAATTGCAATTGGCACTGTAATTTAACATTTGACCTGCTGGTGGTGGTTTTACCTGATTCTCACATACTGATTAGAAAACTTTTACAGGAGTCTCCCTTCTCCTGACAATTTGTGCTCAGTAGTAAATGAATGAAGTAGGAAAGAGCAACATTGTGTCATCATTTGACTCTATAAATTGCATTAACCCAAAAGTTTTAAATACTTTCATTTTAGGAATAAGCCCACTAATACTAGAAATAAATTTATTATGTTACTGATATAATAATAATTCCAGAAAGTATAGGGTTAGCATTCAGTCCTGTCTTCTGTTTTACTGAAGGACAGTGTAGCTCATGCAGGCTTGTTTTTCTCCTTTGAATCTGTAAATCTGGAATAATACTAATATTTATAATTGTAAAGCTGTGGCATGGTTTTCATTACTGCTGACTAAATGATTGAAGCATGTGTTTCCTCTTGACCAGTTTCATTTATGTGATCATCTCATTTGATTCAATTGTAGCAAATGACTTGCTTTGATCTATTAACTCCTTGCCTTTAAAAGAACTTGGATTGTAAATGCCATCAGCTCATAATCATAGTCCTGGGTAACATCAAATATGGTTGAACAGTAAAACTCTGAAAGCAAGATCCATACATGGAAAACTGATTTAATATTACCACCCACTTTTAACATCCAAAGATTCTGGTCATGTTCACTAGTATTAACAGATTAAAGGATAGGTGCAAGATGACATTGAACTTCTGGGCAATTAAATTCTATGGGTCCCGCCGATTCCCATAACAAAGGGTCATTTTAATCATCCTGCAAGTTGTGGTGCATTAATCTGTGTAACAGATTGATAAAGAACATTTATTAATTCAGAAATATTTGGATCTGGATGGGTTGTTTCCCACTTCTATTGATATAATTGAGACCACATTGTAGAATTAATGGTGGAAGAAATAAGATATGCATTGACTGGAAAATGAAAATTATTTCTGATAAAGAACTAAAACCCTTGATACATCTTTTACGATTGCCACCAATACATATACTAAGTTCTGAGTAGGGACAAATCAAAAGCAGTCAGCAATCGTATTTTATGCTACTCTTCCAGGTTCTATTACCTAAAAACCTATTTTACTTTCAGCTTTAGATAATATATGTATGTTGTTCTTAGGTGTACTATCTCTGACATATATATGAAAGCAGTAACATAATAAATAAATTGGGGGAAAAAAATCCCCAACAAAACAGAAAAACTAATCACACTACTTTCTGAACAAATAGTTCCTGATGGCCAAGTGAAGTTTTTTGTGCATATTTTCTTCTAGTACAATCTAAATATCTGACTAGTATCAGAAGGGATTGTGCAATAGATTTTTCCAAATAAGTGTGTTCCAGATACTTTGCTTAGATTTTCAGAAGAGGAGAATTTGATGAAAGCACTTCTGAGATGTTACCTATAGTACATAACTGACCAGTCCAACCAATTCTCCAACCTAAGATGCAGTTATCTTCCTGATTCCCTGAACCTCAGGTCTGACAGAAGTGAGATGCAGAGTAATAAAAGAGCAGACAATGGACTAGATATTGTGTATCTGATAAAAATAGTTACTAGAGATACAGGGTTTTTTATTAACTAACATTTCAGTTTATTTTGAATATCATGAGATCTAGTGACTTTAAATAGATATGCCATGCAAATAAATGAAATATAAACAAAATACTACAATTTGCAGTATTACCTAGTAGGATTATTTTAGATTTTTAAGCAATAAAACCTAAATAAAAGCCTGCATATTAAGTCTTAGATCTGTAATTTTACTGAAATTCTGGTGTAAAGTACAACAGGAGATACACATGAAAGTAATGATGCTTGGCAACAACCCCATTTATGTATGAAATATAAATGAGGCCAGAGGTTCACCTGAGGTCTATTCAGTCATGTGTAATCAATGTCACAGACACAAATTTTATCTACACACAAACCCACCTAGGTTTAGCTGGCGTTAGGCAATGAATAACCAGACAACTTCAATAAAGCTGACCAAATTTTATTTGATTCAGGCTAATTAATTTCAACATTCATAGCCAAAACTCAGTTTCTGATTACTTCACCCACTGTAGTACAGTACTTCAGTTTTGCTGTCTCTTAAATACATGCATTTTATGTTATGAATTAAAATGCAAGAAATAATTAAGGTCAAACATTTTTCTTCCCCTTTCAATCTCCATACAAGTTTGATTGCAGTACTCCTGCAATATTTTGACATTTTGAGCTACTTAAAATCTAAATTGTAAATATGGTGTAATCCGGAAACACATGATCAAGAGTTTATTTTAGGTAGCCACACAAATAACCTTATATTCCTGTGGAAACTGTATGCATAAATGAAAATACCAGTTACATTCAGGGATGTCTCAAGACTTACCTCATACTGCAGTACTTAGAGCTCCTGACTTCCAGTTAGTTTACATACCACATAATTGCTACCTGAATATCTACCTTTGTATTTCAGCAGACTCCCCTGCATAGCTGTTACTGTCTTTGTAAGGGATGGCTTCATAGAGATACAAACTTTTCACATAGTGCTTCCCCCACTAGATCTTATGAAAGCCTAGGCAACGTGGATCAAACTTTGATTAGTCTCTGCCTCGTGTTCCGCCCTCAGTAACTCTACCTGGGGCATAGGACACTACCGACAGATACAAGAGTCACCTTCAATAGAACAAGTAAATAGGAATCTTTTTAATGTTACAGTTCTCTAATGTTATTTTTATACCACACGAATTCAGCCTAAACTGCTCATTAAAGTGCTAAGGAACAGTGAAAGAGAAATATGGACTGCTGATTGTAATAGAGTCCTTGATTAATGAATAATGATTTCTAGTCTCAAATTATGGCCAGTTCTGTTTAACACAGGGGATTCATTGCAGTGTACCAGCTTTTGTGTAGTAGCATGGAAACTGATAGAGTTAATTTAAAATCTCTGTAACATAGAACAGACTGACCCTTAGAGCTGGAAAGCAGTTGACTGTATAGGTCTTTTAAGGGGTAGCATGCAAATGCCCTAAATGCCACAGAAGTTTGGATCCAAGTAGTGCAGGTTTTTCCTGTTTGTATCTGTAGCCTGTGTTTGAAGTAAGTACTTCAGTGAGAAGTGGTATCAAAGTAATCGATATTAAAAGCTTCTGACTCAGTAGCAGAGTGAATAGTAGATGATTTTACATGCACCGTAAACATATGTTGTTAACTGTATAATTGCAAAATACAAAATAAATTTGCAATATAAGTGTAAAAATAGAACCTATGTGAAGAAGGCAGAATGTGCTAGCTAAGCTAAGGCCTGGCACAAAAGAACAGGCTGAAGCAAGCGGGAGCTTCTCTGAGTGAACATGTTGCCTAGAATTAAAATATATAGCAAAATGAAATTTGATGTTTGTTAGCTTTTTTGGTTTGGTGTGTTGTTTTTTTTTTTAACCTGTATCTAGCTCTGTAGATTTGTCTCCTTGTCCTAGCATGGAAGTTTTTTGCTAATCTATTGTATTAGTACTGTCTGTGTCCTGAAAAGCCTACTGTGTGACCTTGGAAATTTATGACTGCAGTCTGAGACTACAGGACATTGAATAAGTTTCATAAATGAAAAATTAAGGGAACTGTGAAGAGGCCTTAGAAGTCATCATCACCAAGGAAAAGTTCAGGCTCCTTGTAATTGACTCAGATTAATATTTGTTGAATGTCAGTATGTCCAGAGTGATACAAGATATTGAATAAGCATTTGTCTGATTTAATAAGTAATTCATCAACAGATTATACCAGATGAAATAAATTCCTTCATTAATTACTATATATTTTCCAAGTTTGGGTCTAGCACCTTGTCTTAAATGTACTGATGTACATTTTAGCTTTGTTCATCAGAACAAATGTTTTATGAAATATGGAAAAGCTACATTTTGAAAGTCAGATTAGGCAGTTAAAATTTGAAGTGTGGATTGTGTATGATAGCGTAGCAGATAATCTTTTGTAGCCTACCAATAGAAAAGTTGTCCTGGGATTCATAGGTCCCATTACTGATTCCTGTAACCAATCTATTCTGTAGTGTTGAACAAGCCCATCACGAAGAACACAACTCTTTGTGATTTTGAACAAATAAAATGGCAGTCAATTTCAGGTTTGGAATGGAAGATATGTTTAAAAATGACTCTGTAAACTTTTCTACACTTTGTTTACTGTTTCTGAAGTACGTTGTAAGCTCTCTGAGGTGTTCAGGAATTTAATATTACCAGTGTACAAAAAAGCTGTTCATAGCTACTTAGTGTTGAGTTGTTTGCATTTCAGAGTTACCAGAAAAAGTTTTAAATAGTTAACAAATTTTTTTCAAATGGGAATTTTTTTCCAATTTTGTATTTTTTTATTCCTGTTTTTAAAATAATTACATTCTATGACTTGTTAAGTTTTATTGTATCAAACAGGAGACAAGAAAGTACATTGCATCTTTATAGGGAGGGAGAAGGTATTATTATGCATTAGGGAAGTGATTATTCCTTTGAACTCTGCACTAGTGAGGCTGCAGTCTAATACTGTGTTTAGTTTTGGGCTGCTTTGCCTCACTACAAGAAAGATATTGAGGTACTGGAGCCAGTCCAAAGAGCAGTAAATCTCATGAAGGATCTAGACCCACAACTCTTATGAGGAGCAGCTGAGAAAACTGGGGTTGTTTAGTGGGGTAGATTAAGCTGGAAAAAAGGAAGGTCAGATGAGACCTAATTGCTTTCCTCAACTGCCTGAAAGGAAGTTATAGTGAGGTGGGTGCTGGTCTCTTTTCCCAAGTAACAATCTATGGGACAAGAGGAAATGGCATCAAGTTGCACCAAGAGAGATTTAGATTGGATATTAGGAAAAATTTCTTCACCAAAAGAGTTGTCAAGAATTGGACCAATGGTGGTGTTACCATCCCTGGAGGTATTTAGAAGAGATGTAGGTGTGGCACTTGGGGACATGGTTTAGTGGTGGACTTGGCAGTGTTAGGATAATAGCTGGACTTGATGGTCTTAAGGGTCTTTTTGAATGTAAATTATTCTGTGGTTCTATTCTATGACTGACTTCATATGTAATACACATATATGTATGTGATGTGTAATATGATGTCTGTATATATATATATATATGTCCTCAGAGATGGTATGTTGTTTTTTTTTTCTCCTTAGAGACAACAATATCAGATACTGAAAACTGATCTAATTGTTTTATGTTTGTACTCTGGGCAGTTCATTTCCTACCTAGTGTCTTACCTTAACAAGGATGACAAGATATTGAAAGGTTTTGCAAAAACTGTTGTAGTAATATTGATATACACCATGGAATGTGGATAAACTGTATTTTTGTAGTTCCTGGTCATGCATTAGATTTTCTCATTACATTGTTAATAAGTTACACTAAAATTTTTTTCAGTTACCTTTCTGTTCTTGCTTTCTCTTTCTCTTTCTTCTCCCTTCATTCTAAAGCTGCTTAAGGAGATAGCTAGGAAACGCAGAAGCATTCGTCTTGAGAGGGAAGTGGAATTAAAGCCATATATTGCAGCTCACTTCGAAGTTCTTCCTACGGAGTTCACGTTGGGGGATAAGAAGCATTATGGTGGCTTTGAGAATAAGCAACTGCAGAGTGGTCAAGAATATGTGTTCTTTGTATTGGCTGTAATGGAGCACTCAGAATCTGTAAGTTAGTTAATATTTTTAAATCTCTAAATTACTTCTCCACAACTCATGGGGGAAAAAAAAAATAGAAAGATTAATAGTTATGCTAGCTCCCAAAAGCTATTTTTTTACAGTACGCTACAGCTTTGCTAAAGTATTTCCTTGCTTAGTTCCAGTTAATTCCTTGAATTTTTTTACTTTGCTTGCACCTTTATGTGTTACTTCTGTGTATGACGGAAACCTGAAGTTAACCTTTAACTAGATATGTTGTGATCCTTCTCAAATTACATGCTCTGCCATTTGAGACATTCAGTGACACAGGTTTAGAGTCTTATTTCCCAATTTATTTAGAAAAGAATTTCTTCTTTGCCTTAATACTACTATTGAGTTGTGGTGTTCAATATGCAGGATTGTTGGAAAGATCCACTGAATCAGATACATGCACAACTAGCCTTTTTTGTTACACTCATTATTCCCTAACAACTTTATCAGTAAATTCTTAGGAAGTTAGAAAATAATTCAATAACAAGGAAAATTCCTGAGGTGAGACAAATAATGAGCTGTCATCTTCTTTATGTAATTCATCTTGTAGTTATGGCCCTTTATGTATAAGTTGATCTACTGTATAGTAATTAAAAAAAAAAAAAAGATTGAAATAGGACCATTGAAAGAAGTTGCAATACACATTAATATTTTAACATACAGTGTGTAATATTGGTACCTAAACCTAACAGGTACATTTGTTGGCTCAACCACTCAAAACCATTGCACCACAATCTGAATTCTTGTCAAATGCTTCCAGCATGTAGCCCTAGAATCACTTTCTTGATGTCAACAGAATTTGCCTACATAATGAGGAAGTAGTTTCAGTTTCAATATGTTTGGATACATATCTTCATTTGAAAATAAAATGTCTCCTGCGGACTCTAACATAAATCAAAAGTTCCCCTTAAACTTTTTTAAGAGTGACTGCAGAGACAGTGAATTCTGAAGGCACTGAATCAGAGAAGTTCAAACTGGAGAGAGTGAACAGCTTTGTGTGTAAAGTGAGATGGCTAAAAGTCTGTGTGTCAGAAATTTCCTGTACTAAATTGATATTTCCAATACAATATACTGTTTCTTACTTATTTCTCTATATTAATTAAGATATGTGTAATTACTTTGTTAGAAGTCAGAATGATATAGCAGGAATAAATAGGGTTATGAATTTACAGTTGAAAACGCCAGTATGGCAAATATATCCATGGGCATACTCCTGAAGATTTCAAAAGGCATTACTAAGCTTACACTATGGACAATATCTGGTTCAGCATGCCATCTGAACAATCTATGTGATTAAGTAGTATGAAGTAGTCCCAGAGAGTGAAGAGTTCATAAGGGTCAGTGGTCAGTGAGCTTCAACTCCCAATTCTCCAGTGTATCTGCAGTCAGTATAGCTGGTTTTCTTCTAGGACTATAGATTCTACTGGTGCATGAGTTGTAACTTGTGAGGAATGTTTTTCCCCATATTCAAAATACCTTTTACATAAGGGTTATCATAAAATTACTTTGTTCAGGGAAGAACTTGCTTTACAACAGTGCATGGGGAGGTCTGAATTTGTTTAATTTTGTGAAATGGAATCTGAAAGAATTTATGGCTACCGTCTATAAATAAATTAAGCATGTTATCAAGTGAAAAGAAACAAAATAGTCATTTTTTGCAAAAATGTGATTAATACAGGTTGGTTGAAAATTAAAAGCAAAATCCTCTGGTTTTGGAGAACACGTAGTAAGTGTTCATACTGTTATCCCTGAGAATCCCTCAGAATCCCTGTCATGGTTTAACCCCAGCCAATAATGAAGTGCCACTTGCTCACCCCCTTCTCTTAGTCCCCCCACCCCTCCCTCAGATGGGCTGGGGAGGTGAATCTGAAGAATGTAAAATCTGTGGATTGAGGTAAGAACAGTTTAATAGCTAAAGTACAGTATACTACTATTAGTAATAATAATGATAAGGAAAATAAAAAGATGAGAGATATAAAACTGAAGGGAGAAAGTAAAAAATACAATAAACAGCAGTGATGGACAGTACAATTGCTGACCACCTGCTGACCAATACCTAGCCTATCTCCAAGCAGCAATCGTTTGCTTCTGGGTAACTCCCCCCAGTTTATACACCGGGCATGATGTGCTGTGGTATGAAATGCCCCTTTGGCTAGTTTGGGTCAGGTGTCCTGTCTGCTTCCTCCCAGCTTCTTGCGCCCCTCCTCACTGGCAGAGCATGAGAAACTGAAAAGTTCCTGATCAAGGTTAGTGCTACTTAGCAACAATTAAGACCACCAGTGTGTTGTCAGCACTGTTCTCAGACTAAAGTCAAAACACAGCGCTGCACCAGCTACTAGGAAGAAAATCAACTCTAACCCCGCCAAAACCAGGACAATCCCTTTCCAGGTGTTTTTTTCTTCCAGCTCTAAAGGAAGAGGCTAAATAAAGTGTCTTACTGTAACAATAGGCTTTCTTCTATCTTTTGAGATTACTGAATTTAGGAAAAAAGCCTCAGCCAGCTCAGGTATTTCAGAAATGGAACATATAGGCTTCTCAATTTCTAAGCACCAATCATAGACTTTTAAAATGTTTGGTGCATATTTAGTAAAAGAGCATAATACAACTGGACATAACTGGCATGCGTACTAGCTCAGTTTTGTGCGTCAACTTTGCTGGTCCTAATCCTGTCTCAAACCCAGGCACTGTTGTGCCCCAGAGCCCAAAACAAGGCCAAATGAACTGTGAAAAACACTTCTACTTTTGTAACACTTGGCTTAGGACAGCTTTCAGAATACACTGCAAACATGGTAAGTGAAAGCTAATTTCTTCTCCTGGTTATCTTAGTCTAACTTGGTTGATATTCCTGATTTACTGCTGAATCAAGTTTTGAAGTCGTTGGCAAGAACTGTAGTTTAAATCCTACTTAAGTGCTGGTGGGGACATTCCAGCAAAGACAAGAGCCAAGAACAAACGATTCTCAACTTACATTTTACTGTAGCTCAGAGTTCTTTGCATGATCCAGTTTTAGCAGGCTGGCTCCTCAACCTCTCCTCTCTGTAATTTTAACTCTGCACTCATCCATAGATCAGACATCTCAGATCTTATCCTAGGCCAGTTGGCTTAACAGCATCCAGTAAGGCAAAGATTTTGAAAGGCCTCTACTGAATTATAATTCTAGTTCCACGGTTAAGAAAGACTTTGAGTATTTAGCATCCCTTCCTATTCTACAGTTGGCTTCACCTGGCTTTCAGTCTAAAATTCCAGTTGTTTCCCTCTTCTGTAAGAACAGTGTCAGATAAGTTTTGATTGCTCAAAATGCACCCTATTATTGCCATAGTTTACTTTTGTAGGCACTTCCTACATTCAGTCCCCTTTATTTTCACCTATAGTATTCTCATTGTTTCAGAAATATCATTTTACATATTGGTTTCAGAAATACCATTTTACATCTTGCAGAAAGAAATATTGTTAAGCCAATATAAAGCTAGAAAAAAAAAACAAAAAATGAGTAACTGATAGGTTATATTCCTATACGTCATTTTCTCTTTCTCTGCTTAAGTTGCAAAGTGCTCTATGGAGGACTGTGTTACTTAATTTCAGGTCACTGCTAATATACGGAGCACAAAGTAAAGATTTTCGCATTGCCTTGTTCATTACATCATTATCTTGTATATATATATATATATATATCTTTTAAATCTAGCATAGTTCATATTTTAAATGCACTCCTTTATCTATTTGTATAGACCATGTATGCAACCAGCCCATATTCTGATCCTGTTGTGTCAATGGACCTTGATCCCCAACCAATAACAGATGAGGAAGAAGGCTTGATTTGGGTCGTTGGACCAGTTCTTGCAGTGGTGTTTATCATCTGTATTGTTATTGCTATACTTCTTTATAAAAGGTAAGTTTCCCTTTTACTTTTTTTAGCGGGCATGTATCTTTCTGATATCAGCCATTTTATAATACTGTTCTACTCTATATTTGTTGTACTACAGCAGTAATGTCATTGCTTTTATATATTTTCATATTTATTAATGGTTTCCAGAACACTGCAGAAATTTTAGTAGATTGACAGAAAGTTTCCAAAAATTGCAGGTACATGGGTACCTTTTTCTGCTGATGACAGTATTAACAGTTATGCATTTAAATGTTTTTTCCACTTTGCATATGTTTGTAAAAAATATGTGCTTGCATATAAATATGGATGGAATTCACACATTTGAATTTTTAAAACTTATTTGTAGATGTGCAATAGTAATGCATTAGGGGTTTACATTCAGCTTGATGTTAAACATCATTTTCATCTCCACTCAAGTAATTTGAGTTTTTGCTTTTGATAGTTCGCCTCAATTTGGCAGTGTAAGTATATGAATTGAAGCTCAGAACTCAGAGATTAAAGAAACATCAGTAGCTGTTTTCCACTAATCTTGGAAAGAGATCAAACATCACTCTTCTTTCACTATGACACAGATGTAGGTTTTCTATTACACAAAGGACCTCTCTCTGCCTTACAACGTACTAGATAAAAATGGTGTATGATGCCTTAATATATACATACCAGCCTTTTACAATGTAAATGAGTTCACAGAGGTCTAGCTACTAAATCAAACCCAAAGAATCAAACACACAAAGTTTAAGATTTACATTTTGTTCCTAGTACATTGTAGAGATATATTGATGAAGGATAATTGGAGAATGCTATAAAGATGCTGTGACCTTGTTGGGGGTGCAGGGGCACACTAGTGATAATTTAATTAAGTGGGGTACATCATCTAAAACTAATGGCTATGATGGTATCACCTGCATACAAATATTTAAGTTTGCCACCCTGTATACTCCTCTCTCCCTAAGTGTCTCCACTCACATACCTCTGAAAATGCCTGTAGAGAACTCGCTTTGGGTTATAGAAAGAAAATTCTCCATTCAGCAGTGAAAAAGCAGTCCAGGCTTAACCTTAGCTTTGGGTTCCAAACAGATACACATTTATAGAATGTTCTTTAGGTCTGTAATCTTACAGCAACATAATACATGGTCTATTATGTTGCGTGAAGGTTTCTATTACTGCCTACTGTCTCAGACAATCTAATTGATTAGCAACCAGTGAACCCCTGTTTGTGTCTGTCTGTCACTTATAAACCTGGTCATTAGAGATGTGCTAAGAGCGAAATATTCCCTTTTTTCTGGTTAATTTGGAGTATTAAACTAAAACTTTTCCCATACAAAACAAATCCAAACAAGGGCAGTAAAGCAGGCATGTAAATGCTTCTGGGAATGTTGATTGTATTTATGAAATTCATAGTAACAAACTCCAGTTCTGTTACCAAAAAAAATATAGGCGTAATCCACAAACGAGCAGGTAAAATTTGTTCATCAGTAGTACGAAGAGATTGTCATTCACTGAAAACGGGGGACATATTTTGCATCTGTTATTTACTAATGGAACTAAAACTGTTCAGGCAAATGTCCATATGTGTTTATTTATTTCTATATTCCCATGTATAAGCTGTAAATTGTTAAACTGCGCTGATTTTGAAAATGACCTCTGAGAAATTATGACTGCCATTTTACCAGTCTATAGTCCTCTGTGAACTTTTCATTTCTGTAAAAAATGTAATATATAATTGGATTTTTCTTTTCTAGAGTATGCAACCTGGATGCAGGCTAACAGAGTTCGATAGCTTTACTGTCCGTAGAAGTAGAATAACTAGATGAGACAGTCGTGATATTTAGGTAGTGCTTTGAGAAAACAGTGAAATTTAATTTCTGAATTAACTCTGTTGAATTACCATGGCTACCAGAGTTGGACATGTTAAAAAATGCATAAGAAATAGGAAAATGAGAAATTTTCATGGATACAGGAAATATTACAAGCCCTAATGAAGAGACTTATGAATTAAAATACTACTTTTACATTTTAATTTCTATCATAGAGAAAGAATGAGTGCAGTTTCTTGAAAAAAAAAATCAAAAATCATTTTAAGGGGGGAATCTTAGAATCATAGACTCATAGAACAGTTAGGGTTGAAAAGGACCTTAAGATCATCTAGTTCCAACCCCCCTGCCATGGGGCACCACACACTAAACCATGTCATCTAAGGCTCTGTCCAACCTGGCCTTGAACACCACCAAGGATGGAGCATTCACAACTTCTCTGGGCAATCCATTCCAGTGCCTCACCCCCCTTACAGTAAAGAACTTCCTCCTTATATTCAAACAGAACTTCCCCTTTTTAAGTTTTAACCCATTACCCCTTGTCCCATCACTACAGTCCCTAATGAAGAGTCTCTCCCCAACATCCTTATAGGCCCCTTTCAGCTACTGGAATGCTGCTATGAGGTCTCCACGCAGCCTTCTCTTCTCCAGGCTGAATAGCCCCAACTTTCTCAACCTGTCTTCATATGGAAGGTGTTCCAGTCCCCTGATCATCCTCATGGCCCTTCTCTGGACTTGTTCCAATAGTTCCATGTGCGTTTTATGTTGAGGTCACCAGAATTGTTCACAGTATTCCAAGTGAGGTCTCACGAGAAAAGAGTAGAGGGGCAGGATCACCTCCTTCGACCTCCTGGTTATGCTGCTTTTATGATGCAGCTGGTTATGTTGCTGGTCATGATGCAGCCCAGGATACAGTTGGCTTTCTGAGCTGACAGCACACACTGAGGGCTCATATGAATGAAGTTTCTCATTGACCCAAGTCCTTCTGTGCAGGGTGCTCTGAATCTCTTCTCTGCCCAACCTGTAGCTGTGCCTGCGGTTGCTCTGACCCAGGTGTAAGACTTTGCACTTGGCATGGTTAAACTTCATAAGGTTGGCATCAGCCCACCTCACAAGCGTGTCAAGGTCCCTCTGAATGGCATTCCTTCCCTCCAGCATATCAACCGAACCACACAGCTTGGTGTCATTGGCAAACTTGCTGAGGGCGCACTCAATCCCACTGTTCATGTCACTGTCAAAGATGTTGAACAAGACCGGTCCCAGCACTGATCCCTGAGAGACACCACTCGTTACTGGTCTCCACCTGGACATTGAGCCATTGACCACAACTCTTTGTGTGCGGCCATCCAGCCAGTTCTTTACCCACCAAGTGGTCCACCTATCAAATTGATGTCTCTCCAATTCAGAGACAAGGATGTTGTGTGGAACAGTGTCGAACGCTTTGCACAAGTCCAGGTAGATGACGTCAACTGCTCTACCCCTGTCCATCAGTTCTGTGGCCCCATCATAGAAGGCCACCAAATTGCTCAGGCAGGATTTGCCCTTAGTGAAGCCATGCTGGCTGTCACCAACCACCTTGTTGTTTTCATGTGCCTTAGCATGCCTTCCAGGAGAATCTGCTCCAAGATTTTGCCAGGCACAGAGGTGAGACTGACTGGTCAGTTCCCTGTGTCATCCTTTTTCCCCTTCTTGAAAATGGGGGTTATATTTCCCTTTTTCCAGTCATCAGGAACTTCACCTGACTGCCATGATTTTTCAGATCTCGCCCTCCTTTTTAAACAGATGCTATTATATATAGAGTGGATAAGTTATATGGGTTGGTGTGGGGGATATTTAGCTGTCCCAAGTACTAGGACTTCATTTTTGACCCCTTTATTATTTGTTGGTCAGTTATTGCTACTGCATTTTGTCGTCTTAAAATCTGAAAGCAAGAATTCTGCATAGGAAGATTTTTGGATCACATATTAGAATATAGGCAAATGATCATTGCAGCCTTGTACTTAACAGTAATAAATGGGGAAAATACTGAAGAGTACCTTTTGTTGTCATCAGATACTGCTGCAATGTTCTATCCAACACAACTGAGGCTTATTAATGTATTGTGTGCATAAGAGCTCACAGATCACACATCCACAGGGCCCTACCTCTGGGGATTACCCTGTCCCAGCCCTGTTCAGAGAATGGCCAGGAAGTTTCAATATATGCAAGAGTGGAATCTCAACAACTTCTCTGGGCAACCCATACCAGTGTTCAACTATCTTCACAGTAAACATGATTTTATTTTTTTTTTTTTTTGTCTGAGTTGCCATTGAATTACAGTTACAAAATCCAGTCTTTCTGAAGTTCATGTCTTTGCAAATGGAACTGACTTGGCCAGTGGCCAGCTCAGTGTTCTTTGTCATTGCAGCAGTTCTTCCACCCCGCAGTCATAGTGAAGGGACACGGTTATTTTGGAGTAGATCTTTAGTCTACTGGACTTAAATCTGAACAATAAGACAATGTTGCTCAAGGCTCTGTCCAGCCTGGCCTTGAGCACTGCCAGGGATGGAGCATTCACAACTTCTTTGGGCAACCCATTCCAGTGCCTCATCACTCTCACAGTAAAAAATTTCTTCCTTATATCTAACCTAAATCTCCCCTGTTTCAGTTTGAACCCATTACTCCTTTTCCTATCGCTACAAACCCTGATGAAGAGTCCCTCTCCAGCATCCTTGTAGGCCCCCTTCAGATACTGGAAGGCTGCTATGAGTTCTCCACACAGCTTCTCTTCTCCAGCCTGAACAGCCCCAACTTTCTCAGCCTGTCTTCATACGGGAGTGCTCGAGCCCCCTGATCATCCTTGGGGCCCTCCTCTGGACCTGCTCCAACAGCTCTATGCCCTTCTTATGTTGAGGACACCAGAACTGCACACAGTACTCCAAGTGAGGTCCCACGAGAGCAGAGTAGAGGGGCAGGATCACTTCCTTCAACCTGCTGGTCATGCTGCTTTTGATGCAGCCCAGGACAGGGTTGGCTTTCTGGGCTGTGAGCGCACACTGAAGCCGGCTCATATTGTTTCTCATAGACCAACATCCCCAGGTCTTCCGCAGGGCTGCTCTGAATCACTTCTCAAACCAACCTGTAGCTGTAGCTGCAACTGATTTTTGAATGTGTCACACATGTTCACTTTCACAGGGTTTACATGGTTAGAAACCCAGTTAATGAATGTTAAAGAGCTCTAGAAGTTGTTCAGTGTATCTCAGAAACTAACAAAATAGAGAGCTCATGTGCCCAGAAAGCATTCTTTCATTCATTTTAGTTTTGTTAGTTTGGGTTTTTTTCAACCTGAGTTTCTGTGGTTCTTCCTCCTTGTTTTTAAGAAATCACAAGTTCTCTAATTTGAGCCCTTCACTGATGAAAAGCAAAATGTTCCTCATTCTAGATCTTTCTAGAGCCAGTTTTGTTTGTAGAGTGAGTTTCCACTTGTAGGGAAGATAAATGTATTTTGACAGACTTCATCTTCTTTACTCTTACAGTGCATTTTTTTTCATTTGTTTAAATAGACAGGACCTAAGCTTGAGTCTTTTTACCAGAGTGAATTTTGGCCCTTGTTCCTAGAACAGTTTGGGTTGGAAGGGACCTTAAAGGTCATCTATTCCATATTCCAACTCCCCTGCAAGGAGCAGCGGCATCAGGTTTCTCGGAGCCCTGTCGAAACTGAACTCAATTGTTTCCAGGGGTATGGCATCTACCACCTCTAGGCTACTGTTTCAAATTCATTTCCATCTTATTATCTGTTGTAAAATAGTTTTTAAAGTTTTCTTTTTTTTCTTTTTTTTTTCAATTACAAGTCATACTTATATATTTAACCTTGTTCTTTGCTTACCTTTCTCTCCCTCTTCTTCCTTTCTCCTCTGCCTTCCACTTTCATCTTTCCTCTCCTGCCTTCTATCTTCTCTAGAATGTAAGAGGGAACTGCAACTTAGTGAGGCATCATTTTTCAATGTAATGTTAACATTACTTTGATACCTCAGATTAGACGCCCATTCTACATTATCCCACTGGCTAAAATTTGAGGTGGAACTACTTTAAGGATAATGTCTGAAAGAGATTTCTTTTTCAGCAGAAGATTCATTTTGGACTTAACCTTGTATCCTCCATTTATTCTATGATTCCCAAGCATTAAATATTTAGATGAACTGTCACCTTTTAACTTGACTGTTAGATATCTTTACTGTAAGTCAACATTTCTTACATCTCTGGTTGTCATGCTTACCCTGTTTACTGCTGGCCAACTAACTTTGCACCTTTTCTCCTCTCCTTGCTGCATTAAAATGGAGCAGTAAACCTGACAGGTGAGACATGAAAAGTAATCACTCTTTGTTTAATCCAGAAAGGAGAAAAAAAGAGGAAAAAAAAAAAGTTATCCTGATAATTATCTAAGTTATCCTATAATTATCTAAGACAGAGCACCTGTCAGTCTAAATAAACATAGTATCAACAAGAAGACAACTGAAAGATTTGTTATGTAGAAAGGAAGAAAGCAAGCGCTGCACAGAAATATAACATGCAGCCAAGTTTTGCAGCTTTCATTTTGTTTTTCCACGGGTACGTTTTCAAGAGGCAGCACAGCTATGCAATGTACATGCAGTTTTATCTGTGTTTTAATGAAGTTATGACAGTGGTTCTTTGCTGTAGACAAAGCTGTTTAAGGAATGCATGCTTGTCTTTGAAGTGTTAGCCACTCTAATCTCTGTAATGCTCCATACAGAGTTTTGATGCTGACTTACAGTTGTACAAGCAAAGATGATGTGGTGGATTCATTTGTCCTTTGTGGATTTTTTTTCCACCTCAGTTGTCTCAAAACCATTCCATAATCTAAAACAACTGTGATATATATAGTCTGAAGAAATGACAAAGCCAAAATAATCCTGGGAATAATAATAAATAATAATAGATAAATTGTCCTACAAGTATTAAAAAAAAATAAATAAATTATTAGAAGATATTTTAGTGTTTTAGTAGATTAATAGGAAGTTATACTGCCCAGTAGTGACTTAAAACTGGAAAAGAGGGAAATGAAGCTTATCTCTGGACAATTCCACTGATCCCTAGACTTGAGAAGAGGGAAATACACACAAAAATACTTGAAAGCTGCATCACACACCTTTACTTAAGAAGAAAAAACACTATGGCATTGTGCTACTGTGGTAAGAGTTTGAGATCATAGAATCATAGAATAGTTAGGGTTGGAAAGGACCTTAAGATCATCTAGTTCCAAACCCCTGCCATGGCCTCACACTAAACCATCTCAGCGAAGGCTTCATCCAACCTGGCCTTGAACACTGCAAGGGATGGATCATTCACAGCCTCCCTGGGCAACCCATTCCAGTGCCTCACCACCCTAACAGGAAAGAATTTCCTCCTTATATCCAATCTAAACTTCCCCTGTTTAAGTTTTAACCCGTTACCTCTTGTCCTATCACTACAGTCCCTAATGAAGAGTCCCTCCCCAGCATCCTTATATCCCCCCTTCAGATACTGGAAGGCTGCTATGAGATCCCCACGCAGCCTTCTCTTCTCCAGGCTGAACAGCCCCAGCTTTCTCAGCCTGTCTTCATACAGGAGGTGCTCCAGTCACCTGATCATCCTTGTAAATGATAGTCAGAATCAAAATTGAAAACAGAATTTCTACTGAGTTACTCCATACCATTTTTTTAAAATAAGAGTAAAACCAGAAGAATCAAATTTAAATCTTCGTCACTTTGCTAAAGAGAAGTTAATACATGTTAAGGTATTTACCAGAGAACAGATGAAATATGTTTACAGCTAAACACTTCCTTTCCCCCTTTCCCCTCACCTATAAAATCATAGGAATTGTAACTTTTAAATGATTGCTGCAACAATGTTGTTATTTGGCTTCTTTGCATAGTCTCTGAAATATTGCTGTATGCCCCTTTCGTGAATGCCACCAGGTGTTCATAATTTAAGACCAGTAAGAAATCAACTGAGCATTTTTTTAAGAGGGGAGCCTGGTGGCATTATAACAGATTTAGCTTTTTGACATTTTAAATCAATTAGAGAAAGGGAAAAGAAAAAATAAACAAATAAACAAGAAAAAACAAACACAAAAAAAAAACACAAAAAACTCACACACACACCCCCAAAAAAAACAAAGCCAAAAACACTCAGGCACACGTGTCTAATTTAAGACCAGTAAGAAATCAACTGAGCATTTTTTTAAGAGGGGAGCCTGGTGGCATTATAACAGATTTAGCTTTTTGACATTTTAAATCAATTAGAGTAAGGGAAAAGAAAAAAATAAAAAAAAAAAACAGACAGGCACACCCACCCCCACCCCAACAATACTGGTATGTTATAGCAAATATTGGACACCTGGAAAAGATTTTGGGATCATAAACCTTAAAGTCATCCTAGTTCTGTTTTCACAAAGTAATTCTTCGTTGCTGTTTGCATCTTCTTTTTATGTTAGATAAAGAATATCACCCAGTTTGCATTTTCAATCAGGAACTCAGATGACTAGTGAAGAAGGATTCATATTGAATTAAAGCATTAAATTTACCTATTCCAGTGTTTTGCATTAGGGAATGATACTCTCAAATTATGGGAGTCCATTTTATCAGAACAGTCAAGAGTCCAAACACTATTCAGTCAGGACTCTGCTTCTCTTTTCCCTCCCCCCTCCCCCCCTTCCCCCCTTCCTCCATACCTCTCACCCTCCTTCCCTCCTTCCCTTCCTTCCTCCCTACTTCTCACCCTCCCTGCCTCCCTCCCTTCTTCTTTCACTTCCTCACTCCTTTCTTTTGTTTCTTTACTTATTTTGGACAGATTGACAGGAATACTATAATTTCAGCGACAGTCATAATTTGATCAGAAACATTCATACAGAATCTGAGCCTTCAATATGTAGGTGTGATCAGCTGCATGAAGATTGTGTAGTGGAGCTCTTAGAGAGATGAGAGGCAACACAGCAAATTTTTACTTCCCAGAAAATGAAGGGAATAGGTGTCTTCTGGGACAGGTGTCTTCTTTACTGTTTTCTGTCATATTGAAAGTACCCAAAGAATAGAGGTGATTTTTTTTATAAGCAATGCAAAACTGTCTGTATAAACTACAAAGTCAATTATTATAACTTCTGTTTATTTTTAATTGTGTGTTTAATTTTTGCATAGTTTTTAATAAAGGTATAGCTAGCTTTTAAAATAGAGACAATGTGATTTTTTCTTTGTATATTTCATGTTATATCTTGTAATGGTTTTCTACCTGGGTGCCCAGAATAATGATCTAGAGGATCAGTCTAGGGCAGAATGGAGCTATTTTCCCCCTGACATTACTTACTATACTTAGATCCATTTTGCCATTGCAAATTGTAGTTGTCCTACCCAATGTGCATAATTATTTTACCTTTCCACTGGATTAAATACTCTTTCGGAAAGAGGCAGCCTGTCTTTAGAATATAGTGATTAAACACTTGGGCACTTTTATTTGTTAAGCTAACATCTTGATCTTATGTTCACTTGTATTCACCTTCTCCATGCAGGAAGAGGGCTGAATCTGATTCTAGAAAAAGCAGCATACCCAACAGCAAGGAGGTCCCCTCTCACCATCCCACAGATCCAGTAGAGCTGCGACGCCTTAATTTTCAAACTCCAGGTAAGAGACAATGATACCTTACTGAGAGCTCTGTGATCACAAACTGACTAGTGGTGCTGTTATGGAGCAGAAATGTTGGTTCTTTAGAAAAATATATGTTAATTGCTTATGAGTTTTTGCACGATGTATTTCTTCACCAGTTTTTGAAATAATTCTGTAATTTCTTTATTTAATGAAAAATCCTTCATGGAACAAAATTAAAGTTCTACAAAAGAAGACCCAAAAGTCACATGTGTTGATAGATGTGTTTTATGAACTGAAATTCCAAGTTAAACCTGACAGTGCTATAAAAGATTATTGGGAAATGCATTTCTTCTATTTATTAATGATATTTTTACAGCTACTTCTTTGTAAATAAGCTTCCTTCTTACCTACTGCATTATCAGGTAATCGATTAATATCATAGAAAGTTACACTACATTGCAAATGTACAATACAGAAAAGAAATACTAACTATAGAAATAGTCTTGTCTTTTAAAATCAGACTGTATGTTAGGGTCAAGGAGGCTACTAAAACGTCAGTAGTTCTGAAGGTAAAAGCAACACACTCCTAAATATTTTATTTACTTATTTATTAAACATTCTTTTTTTAAAGCCATTTGGTTTGATAGTCAAGAAACACTGGGAGAGAACTACTTAAAATAGTATTGATTTGCTTAATTTTGATCATGGTGTATCACAGTAGACTTGTTTTCGATTGCAGTTGATTGCACAGAGTCCCAGCCTGGTGCGTATTACTTAGCAAACTTTCTTGAGCTTTGTGTTTGTCAAATTTATTTAAGTATAAAAAATAATAAATTCAAGCTCATAAAGGCAGCAAGCAAAGTACTTGAGATGCAGAATCTGACATACTAAATATTACAAAAGGGTTAACTGAACTTGCAAATCTTATTTCTGGTTTTCTATATAAGATAGCCCCTGTAGGAGTGAATCTGCAGAGCAGTGAATCTGGGACTAAAGACCCAATATCCCACACTGTGTGCATACGGCAGAGGTAGAAAAGGAAGATCCTGGAGGCTTGAGTTTTACCTTGCTTTATTAGTCTGTTTCAGTACACTAAATGCTCTTTAGCAACTGGAGCAAATTAGATGGGTTTCAGGAGCACATCTTCTAATTTAGACTCATCTGAATATGGGAATGTTGTTCACATACTCTGGGACCTCTCCACAATATGAACCTAAGTGCAGAGTGGAAGTTTTGGTTCACGGTTCTGCTTCTGCAATGTTAATGAAGATTCACCTTTACTAAGCAAAGGTTTGTGTTATCCAGCATTTTCATACAAAGTCTTAAAGTTTGTTACAGAGATAGAAGTGTGCATGCAAGTCTTTGAAACATGAAAAGAATGTAGTTCCTACAGTTTAGTTTATACCTAGAACAAATAATTATCTGTATACAGTTATATAATGAATGAAGAATATGGTTTCTACAGTTTAGCTTATGCCTAAAACAAATAATAATCTGTATACAGTTATATACTGAGTGGATGACTTAATAACTAGGTATATAAGCATAAACTTCTGCTGCCCATGTATTTAGATGGTGACTCTTGCCTATCTATTTATAATTTCTCATCAAATAAAGTAATATATGGGGAAAAAAATGCTGCCAAGTCTTAACAGCTTCACATGTAAAATTAATTTATTGTAATTCTAAATTATACATTTATTATTAAAAAATTGCAGAATTTGTGACACTTGTATATACCTTAATTCCATTTTATTGATCTGAGAGTGACTGGAGAGGAGAGGACATGTACCTTTCCTTATGGTGCTATATTTTATCTGGGAAGCTTGCACTTTTCTGTGTAGTTAGTTGAGCAGAACATCTGCATCCATTTCTACTATGAATTCTTTTTCTCTGCTATAAATCTTTTTACAGAATGGAGGATTAAGATTATTGTTGAAAATATAGAACAGAAATCAAATTATGATCCTTTTTCCTACTGTTGTACCACCTAAGACCGCTAGGTACAGGTCACTCCTGTTACTGCTGATTATAAGCATGCAATTAAATATCAAGGAGAGAATTTCTAACCCATGAGATTCTTCCTGCTGTGTACCAATGGCTAATTAACATGTAATCTTAGCCCCAGAGAAGTCAAGGCACAGTTTTTGTGCTAGTAAAAGCAGAACCTCACTTAACTCGATTAGCTTCAGTTAGGGCTACCATTTCATTAAAATCCAGATGAATTTAATTTAAACATTTAGATCGTGTTGGAACGTTTATCCAACTCCACAGATTAACTAACGCACCATCAAATAACATGGGAGACAAAGCTTTTCAAGATGAATGTAGAAAAATTACAGAAAAACTGTACATGCAGGGTGGCAGTTTTATTGGTTTTGTTATTCCTTCTTACTCAGGTGTGTGTTTTTTATTTTCTACCAGGTAGGAAGCTTTCTTGGAGGTTTCTAAGCACACCAGTTGCTTCCAGTGGGAAGAGAAAAAGAAAAAAAAAAAAAAGGTTTAGAATGAATCCTTAATGTGAAGAGGTGTTAGAGAAAAAAAATTCTAAGACATTGGCATATCCAGATTGTCAGTTTTCACTATGAGAGGTGAATGAGACGCTCCTATAAAATTCTGGGTTGTCATAAGCTTTAATACTTTAAAAGATTTCTAAACAGCCTCTTTCCAAAAAATGTTAGCAATCCTATATTTTGTGTGAGGAAAGGTCTAATCAGGTATATTGTAACAAAATAATTTGAAAGTGAAACTCTTCCTCTGGTAAATTTGAATTTCTAACCACAAGCACAGAATACTTCTGATGCAGGTGGTTAGGCATAACTTTTTGATAGAAATTGTAGGGAAACAAGATTTTATCTCTGGTGATATCTAGGCAATGATTAGGCACAATTATGTTGTACTTGTCATAAAACTGTCAATTCAGCATGAAGATGAGGTGAAAGTCCACAGTCTAAGCTAGCGGCCAGCAAATGTCTTACTTTCATGTCACTTTTTCTTGTCCTGTCAATACAGAACTTTGTTCTTCACTAATTTAGTACTTACCTAAAAAGTTTCCTATATTAGTTTGTCCAGAAAAGATAAAATTCATTTCTAGCTTTTTTTCTCACTGGATGGAGTAGCTCCATCGACAAAATTGACATATTGTCTTTACATTTGTAATAGCCCACTGTTCTACATCTGAGAATAGGATCCAATGTCCATATGTGCTATCCAAAAATGTATATTTGTTAGATAAGCCCATATGACTGTGTGTGTGTCAGAGATGTGCCAGGTTTTCTTTGAGTAAACATGAAAATACCCAATCTCTCAGTAGCCTACAGGATTTCATTTATAAGTCTGTTATTCTTCTGGAACTGGAGTGAGTAGTTGAGGAAAAGCCAGTCACATTCTTCCCATTCTGCAAGTTTTTTATAAAAACAGGATTAAAATCATTAACCTGGTGCACAAATGCTAGAAGTCTCCATGCCAGGTAGGGAAGAGGTAATAATTAAGCCCTCATAAAAGGTTTCCTGAAATGAAGAGACCCAGTTTTGCATAGAGGAAAATAACTGATGTTAAGTGGTTTGAGGGGTTTAAGAGAGACCCAAGGCTCAGGCAAAGACTTCAATCTGCCAATCACTCAAAGAACTAAATTGAGTCATGCCTCAAATGTGACTGGGTTTTTGTCCTCATTTAAGTATAGAATACGTCATACTCATTAGCAATTTGTGCAGTCAGGTGCCAATTAAGCAATTACCTCATTATCTCTTACAAACTAAATAAGATGTTTTGAAATACAAGAAAAATAAATCAAATTATTACAGATCTGAGTTAAAGACTCTGTTTTTTATTAGACTAGTAAATGCTCACAGAACACTCCGTGGATTTCTAAGGAAGTTCCCATAACTTACTTCTAAGATGAGGCAGGAAAAGGGTAAAACAGGTCCAGATGAAACCAGTGCATGTAACAAAATTGGAAAAAGTCATGTCTAGATTCAGTCATCTGCTTTGCAAGGTAGGAGGAAATTTCTTCCCTTAGTTTATCCACACAATTCTGTCTATGAGAATTGTGACAATGCTGAAGGAACTACTGTGGTTTGTCTCCATGACAAAACCAGACTGGAATAGCGTTTTTACAGTAAGCAATCCTACATACCTCTCTTGATGTGAACTTCACTCACACGAAGGATTTAGGTAGCCAGAAAAAGTATAGGTTCCAGAGTGCAAGTAACATTTGCTGATATCCTAATTGTTTTCAAACCCAGAGTCAATCAAAAACTGCTTAGCTGGGAGATGGAGTTGAAAGTTCTGCTCCTCACAAGAGTAATTTTGTGGGTTTTTTCCTGCATTTTAGCCAGTAGTTTTGCAACATGTTATTATACTTCACAATTTTAGACCACGGTCTGAAAACCAGGTTTCTCCTTTTCTCAGAATAGATGGCTTTCACACCTCACTCAGAGCTGAGTCTTCTGTTGTGATGCTACAGAGCCTTTTGGGCTGCTTTGTGAAGCTAAGTCTTTGTTACAGAACAAAATTCGCTTTCATTCCAGAATAATTCATCTGCTTTTCAAGAACATCAATTCTTCTGGAATAAAAGTGACTTAATTTTGCAATATTACACATTCTTAACTGTTTTAGAATAGGTGTTGCAGAATGACATTCCTCTAGAGCTAATCTTGTAAATTTAGCTTTGTACACAAGATGTAAGATCACTCTCTGGCTTTACTGTAGCTGTATGAAAAAAAAAAGTCTAAAGCAACAGTATTTTTTTGTGAAATATGGTAAAAGCATCCTTGCCAAATTTTTATGGATGCCAAATTCCTCTTGAATCAGGGTCATAGCTATTTTTTTCCAGTCTCCATGTCCAAATTTTAACATGTATGTAATTCTATCTCTTTGGTAAACACTGTCACTGATTCCTTCCTTTTCCTGTAAGGAAAAAACGTCTTAACACAGATTGGTGTGTAGGAAGGTATTTTGTGTTACTAAATAAAAATGAAGATGTAATAAATTAGGTTTTTTAAAATCAAAGAGTGTTAATAAGATGTGGACCTGAAATACGATTTATTTAATAAGAAAATTTCTATGAAAATAATGTACCACATTTTCAGTTCATCTAGATTGTAGTCTGTGTGCTAGCAGCTACTTCTAACTCCCTTCTTGTTTATTGTGGGCATGTCAACCTACAGGTCCAAATTTGTAAAGAAATGTGTGTTTTTTAAATGATTTAAAGCTCTTATTATAAAACCCTGGCAACAAAAAAAATCCTAATTTAACACACTGATGACAAGGCCTAACACCCACTTGTTTCAATGTGGTAAAGGAGAATACATAACAGTTTTAATATCCATTAGTACGTAGATGAATTCTGATATTGCTCTGTCAGTTTTTCCTTGAAATTGTAGCACATATGGTATTCTGTGTTCCTTAGTCATGTATTTACCACAGATTAACAGGAAGATAATTCTAATCTGCAGTTAAACCATACATTCTCATTTTATTCATGTGGAGGGATCACTACTAGGCTGCATAAGCTCAATCACATTTGGCAATCTTCTACCAAACCTGAAATAAAAGCTTCTTGTGCATACAATTTCAGCCATGTTTTGCATGTGCTGTTCTGGGTAGGAGATGGGGGGAAGGGGAAGGAAAATGGGGTAGGGGGATATGGTTTTGTTGGTTTGTTGGGGTTTTTTTTGCTGTTTGAGTTTTTAAGAGGTTTTATCTATTTATTTTCTAATTTCAAAGTTTGAAAGCATGTTTTCTGCATGGTGTTTCTTTTGACTTTCTAGCATGTCACAGAATCCGTTGTAATTTAGCTGTATTTTGTCCTTAATTTTTTTGTGTTTTCATAACATGTTGATTGATGTGGAGATGTGTTAGCAAATAAGTGTATTTTCTTATTTGTAGCCACAAAAAGAAGTGCGCTTAGCTGTACTTTGGGGATTTTTTTTTTTTTTAAATTTCTACACCTGACGTTCGCGTGCAACTCATGTTAAGCTCAGTAGAAGCCTCATGCTTTTGCATGAGACAATGAGATCTTGAAATGTTCATTCGTAATCTGTTCTGATGCTTGTTATGATTCATAGTCTGATTACATAAAGTCCTTTAGCACTTCTTTTAAGAAATAGCTACTTTTATTGTCTCAGTAGAGTACATTTTATATATTTGAAAGATGGAAACATACCACATGCAATTACTTCACAAGTTAACTACAAAATATTTTTTTGAGAAAGTTAATAAATGTCCAATTGTAAATGCCCAAAATGAGTTGTGAAAAGGGCAGTCAAAAATTGCCAGTTTCTGAAGTTGTAAGTAGTTCCTTTTTTTTCCTCAGAAAAGAAAGTTTTATGTCAAGTTTCATTTTGCACAGAGTGTTAAATGTGAAATCTTCCCTTAGGAATGTCAAGTGGCATATAGAGGAGTATATAAAAAAAAGAAATTGTTTAAAAAGAAATGGATGTTCAGCATCTTTAAAAACTGTTCCTTAAACATCTTTAAAAACTGTTCCTTAAAAGTAAGCTAATTATTGAGATTTGTGTTCATGATGCTGGTAATTTAGACAGGTTCATCATGTGATGAGCGAGTCTCATTCTTTCTGGTTTTATGTCCTTTATGTCTACAGTAGGGTAACTGGACCTTTAGACATCTTCTTAGTTGAGTCCAGATGCTGTTTTGTGAATGTCTGAAGTGTCTGAATGTGCAAGATTGATTGGTTATGATGGTCTACTGCTGTTACTAATTTGTTTCCCATTTCCAATTGGCTTTTGCTTTTTACAGCTTTGAGCAGTAATTCAGTCCCCTACGCCTCCCTGATTGGCTCTGTGTCCTCCCTCTCTAGCCAAACTACCACTCAGTCCTTATATGATAATAACTCTCTCCCACGATTCGCTCGAAAAGGTCTAAACATCTTTGTCTCTATTATTTTCTTTGTTCAAGCACTGCTTTAGATGTACATCAGTCCACCTCCATTTCTGGATAAGTCTAGAGTTCTCTTGTGCCTTCTCGCTCACATATTTTCCATAGGGGTGCTTGATCTGGACAAGTGTAATTATTAAATGACTGTCACCCACACTCATTTTGAGAATAGCCAAGTTCTATTAAGTGAAATTTCTAAGAAAATGGGAGACAACCAGAATGGATTCAGATAAATTAGTACTCATGGACTAACTTGTTAATTGAAATTTATAATAAATTTTTCCATTATATCTGAATATTTTCCTTTCTTAGTTGATTGACAGTGCGCTTTAGTATCTACTGTAAATAATGTCTTACCATCACAGATGTGCTATGAAGGTAACATATAAATGTGTAAGTGTACAGTTAGAAGAATTAAGGACAGTGCTACTAGACATTATTTTGTACTCAAGTATGATGCCTGAAATGTCAAAAAATCAAAAAGAAAACGAGAATTAAAAATAAATAAATAAATAAAAACATACTATAGCATGACTGTGTTGTAACCACATAGTCATTTTAGTCAATTTCAGCTACATTTACAGGAAATGAAAGTTCACTGTCTTAGGCATGCTCTTGAAATTCACGGTGACAAAGCAAACTGCATTGTGCAACATGGCTTCCAGCTTGAGCCCCCTTGAGTCATCACTGTTTTCCCTTTGTAATTTCAAGAGATCCTGGGGTTCACTAGCTTGATATTTTCTAGCCAGCTCTGAGTTCTTCCACAAGTAATTGAAAACTCAGTTTCATTTTAGGTGTGATAGTGTAAAGCATGAAGAGAAGAAAGTAAGCATTTTGGAGAAGGGTGGTGAAGACTAATAGTGTGAAACAAGCGTCCCAAATTTTTGCTTGGCAAATCTTCAGCTGGCAGATTGTTCTAGTTGACCCCACATCTGTCTTTCTTTTGCCTTGCTGTCCCTGTACTCGCTTCCACACCTATCTCTATCTCCATCTCCAATTCCCAGTTCTTCTTTTTCACTCAGTATCTTCATCAGTGGACAAAGATGTTTACACCTGAAGTAGATTGTAGGTACTTTTGGGGGTTGATAAATGGGGTTTCAGATTAAGCATATTTAAAGGTACTAGTGCAGTCAGTATGTGTGTCCAGCCAAACTGTACAACCCCTGCCTCTACAATCTGCTACTAGTGAAAACATTTTTGAAGTTCTAATTGTCTGATGTCCAATGTTGTCTTCAGTGACTGTTGTCTAAAAGCAATGGTGCATGTTATTCTAGTCATTCATAGTTGCATGTTAGTCACTTCGAAGTTTCATAAAATATTTGAGTATTTCTAATTTAGAATACATAGTCTTCTAGACCTTGATGCATTACTATTAATCCTTATCCATTTCATTCTTTATAATTTATTTTATTAAATTAATTTCATGTTGGTTTGAGGTTTCTTTGTTTTTTGCCATTTCCTTTGCAGGTTCAGGTGTCTCCGGTTACCTTGGTAACCTTCATTCTTCAAGTTCGTTTTTCTTGATTATGCATAAGTCACTTTGTTTTCTGTCAAAACACTATTCTTTCCCCTTTAGGGCTCTTTCAGTGTCTGTTTCTCAGCTCACCTTTCCTCATCTAATTCAGTGGAGTTTCCATTTCATGCAGTGCAGGAGAAGGAGTTTGAAATGACATTAAGAGTCATTACTCAAAGCAGAGGTCAACATTAGGTATAACTGTCTCATTTTTCCATGCCTAGCTAACCTCATTGACTCACATCACAGTAACTCTTTCCTCTACACTAGGAATGTTAGCTTTGGGAGAATGCTTGGTGACTTCTTTTGATTTGGCTTCAGAGCTCATCTACCCAGAGCATGTCCTGCTTTGAGTAACCAAACTATTTGCCTGCTTCTCTCACATATGACATCTTTACTACTTACACATTTCTAGCCATTCTAACTACTACATTTTCTAAATTTTAGAGTGATGCCATCACTGTAGTTTCCTTTAAATTATTTTCCTCTTTCTTGTTCAACAGGTATGGCCAGTCATCCCCCAATACCCATCTTGGAACTTGCAGATCACATTGAAAGGTTGAAAGCAAATGACAATTTGAAGTTCTCACAGGAGTATGAGGTAATTTCCCCCACTTTCTCATTATTTAAATTATTTAAAATGCCATGTTTTCTGTTTCCCTAGATATCTCTCTGATACGCACCTACCGTGAAGGTGCCAGTTTTGTATGATATTAAAACAATGATAAAAATTTTTTTCTGTGTAAAATTACTACACTGATAGGGTGGTTTCTTTGCTTGTAACAGTATGTTCTCTTTTTACAATGACATGTGCCAGGCAGATTTCATGGGCACATGCCTGAAGTTGTATGTGAATGATACAGCACTTACTCTCCATAATATACACAAACATCCATCTACTTTGCAGTTAAAAGATCTTACATTATATTTAAAATCTCCTGTGTAGTCTTGACAGGACACATACAGTATGAGCTCCAAAGTAGTTACAGTCCACTGTGTTAATTTTGTGCACATTAAAACCATTTGCAGTTGCCTGGTTGCCCTACTATACCAGTTGTAAGACATTCTGTTTTCCTTCTGTCAATAATACCACATCTGTAGAAGAGTGGAAGAATTTAAGAGTAATCATCCACCTTGTCTGCAGTAATCCATGGACTATACATCCACAGATAGGTATTGGTACTGTGGAGCCATAAGAGCCTCTTATGTCAGTAATTTGTGGCTAAAGAGACTTTTAGATAGCCATCCATTAAACACAGTAAATTATAGTTTTTTTTTTAATGCCCATATTGTCTATGTCAAAAATTTGTAGGTAAAGTATACACTGAACCATCAAAAAAAAGTGCTTATTTAGGATATCTGTGGGTGGTCATGTCAGAGACCCAAGGATTAATAGCTCCCAGAGGGATCACTGACAGTATTTTCTTTATATTCTGCTGTGCCACTAATCGTTGCTTAAAACTTCCAAAGACTTTGTTAGAATGACGGAGTAAAAGCAGATTTTTTTAGAGAATGTGGAGATGGTATGGTTCGTCTTACACTGCAATTATCTTAAATTTTTGGTAGTATTTAAATCATTAAAATCATCTTGAGAACATAATCTTAACCATTTATAGCCCACATTTTGAAGGTACATTAAGTTCTTAAATTGTAGGTATCTGTCCCTCCAGACTTGTTTACCAGTCTGCCTAAAAATAGCAGCTTTCACATTTGGTTTTTTTTGTGTTTGTTTTATATAACAACTGTAGATCAACATGAAGCTTCATTCACATTGCTTTTCCCAGTGGTATTCAACATTTATCTTTGAAATTCCAGCTTTGGAGATGAGACTTCATTTCCATCTAGTGCAAGATTCATCCGTTTTGAAACAGAATTAGTGAAAAGCACTGCTATTTGATTTCATGGTCTAGTCTAGGCAGTGGACTAAGGCTGCAGTTTGATGATCACTGTAAGTCATCTCCCTGTCTTGGCTGTGCATTCCTGTTTTCTCTCTTGTGCCAGTCCTGGCACTAGAACATGTGCAGCTGTTCAAGGATTATCTCAGGAAATAGATTCAGCTGAAAACTAATTGTTTTATTTTTCTTTGCTGTTTCCAGTTGGATCAGTTCCCTGAACTAGCTCACCATATTTCTGCATGAGCACTAGTGCCACCACAAGTGAGTTGGTGGGGTCTTTTATGGCCAGGGATTGGGACTTTCAGGAGCAGTCCTCACTAATGCTCTTTAAAAGCAACTGTTTGATTCTGAGACGCAAATGAGTACAGATGGTTACAGTTGAACTACGATCACTTCAGATAACATTTAAACTGGGGATACAGAAGGAAAAAAGAGATATTTTTCATCGTCAAGAGTTAAAGATGTAGCATGCAGCAGGAAACCACAGACCTTTATTGATAGTAAAGTCCTCCAGTTAATTCCCATTTGGAGAAACAAACCCTCTTTCTCAGTTACCACTGATTATTTTTTCAATATATAATGTCCTTTCCTCCTCACATTCAATTATTGTATTTTACTCTTTATAGAATTTCTTACACTGTATGGATGAAATTCTTCAAAAATAAATGGATAGTATACAGCACCTGTTATGACAACTTTGTGATACCATAAAATAAAATATATATATATTTGCACAGTTTCTTCATGAAAGCTGACTTCTCCTCCAACCTGTAGAATTTCTTTCAGGAGGTTAGCTGCATTTCAATAGAAATTTATTTTTTAGCACACCCCGCATTAGTTACCACTTGAAAAGAATTACTTGTTTCACAACTCAAACACATCTTTTCATATTACATGGAACCTTTTCAAGCTCTTCAGAAGTATTTGAATACTTGTGCCTGTTCCATCCTTGATCCTGTTCCATCCACGGCCTTTTGATCAGAATTTCTGATCAAAATTGCATACAGGTTTGTTTTTCTCTTTTTAGAAGAGTATCACTTCCTTGCCTGTCTTGCTTTCTCTTCAGACAGACAGAAACTTCCCCATCTCTTCAATACTTCCAAAAGAAGAAAATACAAATCTACATGCTGACCCCTCTCCTGATTTATACCCTCTGGCATAATTTTCTAATGGTGCCAGTTCCCCTAACTGTCTTGCATTTTCTTAGAGAAGATGAAGGAACACATCTTTGTAGACCTGGACCATGAGGAGAAGACAGGTTTACTTCCTTCAGATAATCCCAAACTCAGCCCACTGTTCTCCATTCTTCTAGCACAAAGGTTCCCTAACAGGTTTTTCTGTGTATGTGTGTTGGGGGTTTCTTTTATTATTACTGTTATTACTATGTTTCTTCTTTTGTGCTTTGTGAAATTTAGTTGAGAAAGAATCTGAAATTTCCATTAAAGAAATAGTAAATCCAAACTGCATCTATTTGCACTCTGGTTCTGAAAGGAATGCCTAGCATAAGAAGTCAAATTGGGAGAGTAGGTATTGCAAAAAGTAAGCAACAATATACATAGTATAAACTCAGGAAAAAAAAAACAAAACAAAACAAAACTAAACTATACAACTCCTTCATTACTGTGATGCAGTAAAAGGGGTGTACTCTCCAGTGTAGGCTGTCTTCCAGCTGTGTAATATTTTCTAAGTTTCAGTGTTGTCAATTGGTGTTCCTCCTACATCTGTAAGTCTTCAGAAAGTATTTTATTTTTTTTATTTCAGACATAAAACCATATTCATAAGAAATTGACCTGTATATTATATTTCCTTCTTAACTCAAGCTTCAGAATTAACAATAAAAAGTGGTCATGGAAATAGACTGAAACAGAGCATTCATGTTCTGCCAACTTCATGCAACACATGGGACGCATTTATAAGGTCATTTCCTCCTATAACGTAGAACAGAAAACCTATTCCTCCAAAGCAGATTCCTTTTTTAAAATATTTTCACATTTATTATCTGAGAACCTGTCACTGCAACACAAAAATTACATCACCAGTGTCTATATCTTACCTAATGATTTACTCTGTATGTGTGTGTGTATGTGCACCGATTAACTAATATTTTGAGAAGTTATATGTAATTTTAATGCTTTTCCTCATTAGACTTCTTTTGGGAAATTACAGCCGGTCTTTTGCTTGAACACTGAATATTGGAAAAGATGAGGATGCATTTCAACTCTGTGCCATACTGCTGTACAAGTATTATTGTAGCTTTTCAGGATCAGTGGGTAGAGTTTGTGATGAGAATACAATTTAATGAATATAGTACATTTATGTGTTTTTTGTATCTCAAGCTGTGATAAGGTAAACACTGGACACTAAAATACGATAAATTTTATATAGTAGAAGTGCATATAAAACTTACTATTGATATAAACCACTTTAAAAGTCCATAAAGAACAGATAACCTACTGAATGAATCTGCACCAAGGAAACAGCTGCACTTAAATGCCGTATCATTACAGATAATAGTGACTCATATGCAAAAATCAATTTCTTCTCAGCAAAAATTTGTTTTCTATTCTTTATCTTTACAATAGCTTCCTTTTTCTAATAGTACAGACATCATTTATGTGTATTCTGTAGCTTTATGTTCATAGGATGTGCTCCATTTATTGAGAAACAATTAATGTAGTCAGTGAAGGATGAAAAGCTGTTTGTCTTCTTATTAATAACACATATGCTGTTGCATTCACCTAGGTTGTTTGGTGCTTGGTTCCAGCCAGAGTAATATCAGAACCAGCAGGACAATTATGATAGAGAACTTTAAAGACATAATGCAGGAGTCTGAAGTGGCACTAGTTAAGATTTATAGTAGTGTATTATCTTTTTCCTTTGTGCTGTGAATGCTTCCTTGGGTTAACAGCATTCATTTATGTTTATAATTAAAAGAATATTCAGATAAAAGAAGCTGGGTTGACATAATTGAATGCTAGGTTTAGGTCTGATACCTAATGCTGTTTTGCCAAGGTATTCCACAAAGACAGTTTAAATAGTCAAACACTATAAAAAATATGTTAGTTTTATTTTGCCCAACTGAAAACCATGATATGTGTAAGAAGAGAAAAGTTGTCCACTTCTTATAACAAGAAAAATTATTCAAGGACAGACTAGTAGGTCATTATAGGTAAACATGAGTTTTATGGGCACTTTTTAGAAAGATTCATTTGTAATATTTTTGGAGTTATGGGGGACAATGGAGGAATCAGTGAAGAATTTCAGTCCTTTACTTGTCTGCTAAAAAGAAAATGTTTACAGTGCTTTAAAAATACCTTGAAAATTTAAATTAACATCAGTGTCCTACATGAGACAATTACAAAATTTGCAGTTTAAGAGCTGCTGTTTTTCATGTACTATATTAAGCAAACAAAAAAAAATAGGATGCTTTAATTGCAAAATATTTAAAATAAGTAAGATTTTTCATTACTCAAGTGTTATTATTTATTTCCTACCTGAAGCTGAACGTAATCCTCTGTTTCCTACACAGTATTATTTCCACCACAGCTTGTTATGATATGGACAAAGGATTTTAGTTGCTGATAGGGAATAAATAGATTACATTTAAGACTGAAGGCGAAGAAATATAAACCAGTAAGATTTATTCTTTAAAACTTAGGTTTTCTAAAGCTTTTTATGTAATAGAGACTGTCCTTAAAAAATGTTT